TGAGCCGGGCGAATCAGGCCTGGGTGCCGCCCCCTAGCATCATGCTCTTGCTTGCCGGGATTTTCCCCATTCCACTGCGGTTCTCATAGGGGTCAACAGGGAGGCTGGACGGGAGCCCTTCAGCCTAGTGGGATGAGGCTAGAGACAAGGACGCTCCCCCCTCTCCCTCACAGCTTCCCCTACAGCAGGGGCCAAGCTCTGAAGGAGCCACCTTGGTCAGACCAGCCGCTCTAGCAGAATTTCCTGCACCAGAGAAGGGACCACGTGGACATGAGGCACCTGCCCCTCAGGCTCAGCTCTCCCCAGCCAGCAGCTCCCGCAGGGGCTCAGGGACTGTGGGGCCAAGGGCAATGCTGCGGCCGTAGCTGCCAACACACCAGTGATCAGCCCACAACAGCGAACGCTGCATCCCCCGCGCACTCAGCTACTGCACATGTGGCTGGGCTGACGGCACCAGCCGCTGAGCATTCGAACAGCATCGGTCCAGGCCTACGCCCTGGCGCTCAGCGATGAGACGGGCTGGCTGGGGATGTGCCGGGGTCTGTCAAGCTCTAAGTGACTCTGCTGGCAGCCGCGCTCTGCTGAGAGACCCACAAGGGCACTTGGATGTTCTGATTTGGGGCCAGCCCCCTGCTTGGGGGAAACTAGCTGGTCATGCTGGGGACCAGGAGAAACAGAAAAGGGGGAGATAGGAGGGGCTGTTGCTACAGCAAAGCATTTCATGTGGCTCCTGTTGCCCAGGGAACGGTTTCTGTGACACCACCAGCCACATCGGGCTCCCTTGGATTCCTGTTCTCGGTGTCAAGAGCAGGCTCCTGCGTCAGACGGGAACGAGTCAAACCCGGCATTACAGAGGGAGCCCCAGCCAGGCAGGGAACAAGCCAGAACACAGCGCCTGCGAGTGGGACACATGGGCTGACACGGGATGGTGGAACTCTGGACCAAACCAGGGGGAGGGCTTGGCGCGGTAGCCCGTATAATATCCCAGTGGGCAGTAGGGCAGGGATGGAGCACAAAGGAAAACCCTCAGAATCCCCAACGGTCTGCTGAAGGGAGAGTGTGGGAAAGCCCTCCCTACAAGCCAGAGAGATCCACCAGAGGGCAGGTGGGGAGTGGCTGAAGCACAGGGCAGGGAGTCGGGACTCAAGGGCCCTCGTCCTGGCTCGCGACTGATTCACTTTGTGATTTAACAAGTCCCATCACCTCTCAGTTCCGTCTGACACTGGGGCTAGTAACACCGATGCACTGCATGGGCTGAATCATCAGCTGCAAAACACTGGGCTGCTCAGATGGAAGTGAAAGCAGCCCAGAGTGCACCTGCAACATCCCAGGGACAAGGCAGAGCCCCTAGGGTTTCTGTGTGGTTCTACCCAGAGTGCATGCAGATCCAGAAGCAGAGGTGGTTAGAACAAGTGCTAGGGAATCTCACCAGTAGCTCTCTCAGGAACATCCAGATCAGGAAGTTGAAAATATTTGACTCCCCTGGACTGGATCCTTTCCTTCCCTACCCTGCCTGCATTCACAATCATCTCAGAAGACAAAGTCAAGCCAAGCCCTGGACTGGCAGATACTGGATTGGGGTTGCGAACAACACCCAGTGGGAGCCAAGACACAGAAGCTCATTCCAACAACCCAGCGGGCCCGGCGCACCATTGAAACAAGTCTGCAGGTGGAGCTGAGCTTCCCGTCCTAACGGATACTCTGGCGTGTTGATTGCTGCTGCCGAGAGGGCGAACCGAAAACCAAGGGTTCCGGTGCTGTGCAGGAATTACCACTGTGGCCTGCTGTGAAGTCCCGCCCAGGGCCCAGAGTAGAGCAGGCCCAGGCTCTTACTCCTTGGCACACTGCACTTCGGTCCTTTGGCTCAGCCCAAGTTTTGTGACATGCTCTCCCCTCCCTCCACCCCCCCAAATCTAATCCATGGCATCAGGCGGGAGCAGGAGCCTCCTGAATCAAGGATTCCCCCAGTGGAGGATACAAACGGGAAAGAACCTGGCAGGAGCTAGCGCCCCCAGGATGAAGGGTGCAGGGACAGGAGTCACCAAGGGTACATCCACACTGCAAAACACACAGCCCCATGGCAGCGAGGAGTCTCAAAGCCCAGCTCGGCTGAGTGAGGCTCTCATAAGAGGGCTAAAACTAGCAGTGTAGACATTCCCACTTGGGGTGGAGCCCACGCTCCAAGACCCTCCCCTGCTGCCGGGATCTGATTGCAATGAATTAAAAGTGCCTCTTCTTACCAGGAGACTAACTCTTCCATTTCTCTCCAAAGCATGTTGCCTGAGGATTTTTTGGGGCTTTCCTTTCCTACTTTGCAGCAGCTATGAAGCCAAGAGAGAGACACAGAGGAACATGGCAGCGCCTGCTGCAAGAGATGAATTTTAAAATCCTGAACAGCTGGGTCACCAAAGTCTTGGGACAGACCTGGAGAGAATTTTGAGGTTGCCTTTGAGGGCTACGTTTCCCAACCAAGTCCAATAGCTCTCATTGCTACATAGGGTTCAAATGGAGATAAAGTAATGTACTAATATCATACCCACAACTCAGAGCTGCTTGGGCCAGCAGATCCTGGAGCACTTTTTCAAAGCAGAGTGACTCCCCCTCTCCACTTTAGAGATGGAGAACCAGTCCAAGTAAGGTGAAGTGACTCACCAAGGCCGAAACAGAGTCTGCGGCAGGAGGCCTGGGGCTAGAATTCAGGCCTCCCAACCCCTAGCCTCGTGCTCAGGCCACTGGAACACAGCTCCTGCTGCACACAACATGTAACACAAGTCAATTTATTCTTTGCCAAAACAGCAGCTGCCTCCAGATTAAGCTCTTGGGACAGGGACTTTGGGGGGCACTACTCTCCAGTGGTGTGGACTGGCCATTATGAAAAATATCACATTGAAGGGACAATCTCCCTATAAATGAAATGTGTTAAGAACGAAGTCTCCGGTACAACTAGGCAACCAACTGCCATTTTTATCAAGCTGGTGATTTACAGGCAACAAAAGAAGAGAAAGCAGCACCTGAGTGCGGGGGAGCAGCTGCTCATTTGGGGAGCATTGCTGCCTTTCCATGGTTTACCACTGAATGGACCCTGAGTGCGGGGGAGCAGCTGCTCATTTGGGGAGCATTGCTGCCTTTCCATGGTTTACAACTGAATGGACCCTAACGCACACATGCCAGTATTTATAGACAAACATACAAAACACCTCTGAGTCTTTTAGCACTTGTCTGTCTCAGTGACACGAAAGATCTTCAATTGATTTCTGCAGTTTCTCGGCAAAGCACACTGGTCAAGGTTTTTTGTTGTGTTTATTGGGATTTTATTTCTTGCTTTGCAGCAGCTATTAAGGCAAAAATCTCCTCCTTGCTGGTTTTAAGAATCTCTTTTCATTGTACCCAACAATGGGGACAATTGCCTATTTAAACAGTCACATGTTCTGAACACCTCGCAATGAAAACACACACAAATCTGTCATCGGAGAGCCAGTGCAGAGATGACAAAGGAATTCATAACAAGCTGCAATAATTATAATGCAGAAGATCTGATTTAAGAGGGAAAGTTGCTTTCTACAGCCGGCTCAGCAGGAGAAAGTGCATTTGTGAAGACAACATGGCCTTCTGCATTCATTACTTGGCAGAATCCCAGAGAGGCCACTAGTATTTGCCCTCTCTTAGTCACACCTCTCATGCTCCCCCCCCCCCCCCCATCCCAGTCACCCACCCTCTCCATGGCTTCCACAAATCCCACAGCAGTAAAGCTACTGTCACTCTCCTGTTCCAACAGACAGCATTCAGTCTCAGACTGGCCCCTCCTCAGGGGCTGGCAGTGCAGTGGGGCTATTTAGATTGTAAGTGCATCAGGGCAGGGGAACCGAGTCACTTGGGATTCCACAGACAAGGAGGAGAGATGCTTTTCCCAGACCCATGAGCCACAGAGATGGCAATTTCCTGCATTATCCTTTGGGACCTTATTAGATGAAGTATCTTTGGGATCTATTGTATTAAATGAAGGGTCATGACTTACTGTGGGCTGGGATTGTATGTAACCTCTTGAGGGAAATGTGACAGATTAGAGACCCGGGGTTCAAAGGACTATACTGAAATGTGCAAGGCAAGAATAGACTTTTGGAACAAAACGTGGTAAGTCGTTTTCCTGGGGAATCTCTAGGGGGAGGTGAATACAAATTCCCCACCTCTGGTTATGCAAAAGCCCAGGCTTTGGAAGCTACACCCTAAGAGGTGGGCCATTGTCTGCTGATCACCTGTTACATGAGGTCAAGATCAAAGGCCCAAGCTATATAAAGGAAAAGAGAAATATTCATGGTTGTTCTGGTTCTGAATTTGGGACAGTCATGAACTTGTAACCATGGGGAAAACCCAGTTGTGGGTTTTGTAGGACTGCCACATACTAGAGCCCAAGGCTAGAGTTGGTAAGTAAGCTCTGGTAAGCTCTTTAGCATAAGAGTAGGTTCTTTTATTGGTTTTAATATTTTCTCTGTAATGCTTTCACCTTAAGAATAAATGTGCTTGCTTATAAAGAGCTATGTGGTAACTTGTAACTGCAGGCAAATTCTGCTGTTATAGCTTCTGGAGATAAAGCAAAATGCAGATGCTGGCCTGCTTAGGCAGTCTGGTTTGCAGGCATATCAAAGTACAGGCAAGGAACTGTGTGGACTGGAAAACCTCGGCTGGGAAAGAGAGGGATGTGGGTCTCTGCCTGAGAGGTGACAGATGGGGAGCCAGGAACTGAGAGCAGGTGCCCTTGGTGGCCCACGAAGCGGGAATTCAGATGCAGTTGCCGTGAACTATGGACATTTCAACTACTGGCCTCATCACAAGTAGGAATGAGAGAGGCAGGGCAGAGGCTCAGCATCACATATTTGCAAAGTAAAATGTGCCTAAGTCCAGCATTTGACCTTGTTACGCTGACAGAGTCCCTTTACCGGCAAATGACGAGAAAGAACAGGCTGGAGGAGGTCAGTGAAAGGAAACACCAGACTCCCAACCTGCGCAGAACAATTCACATTTATTAGTTCAAACAGCTAACACTTGCTAAACATGCGTTTAACACTTATTGGTCACATTTCCACAGGTAGTCAAGTCACAGAGCAGAGCAGAGACAGGTCAGACATGAGCAGCCTGCACGTTGGCCCACCAGTGGGTGAAGGGCGGGCCCCACGGCACAAGCAGGACACATCAGGAGAAACATTCATTTGGTCATAGTGTAGTGACAAGAAACAGCTCCTGAGATGGGAAGTGTGACCAGCCCCCCCGAGGTGCAGCTGGGATCCCTGGGGGAAGAAGGCAGGGGCCAGCCATGCTAACCTGTCTATACTCCAGCTCTGAGCATGTTAAACATAACAGCTAAACGCTCACTATTAGTTATGTTGAGGTGACATCCTGCTTCCCTGATTTATGCAAGGGATCATGGGAAAAATGAATTGTTTTGCTGTGCTTGATTGAATGAAAACACATTCCCTATAGCACATCTATTGACAGGGCCCAGTCCCAATGCAAGGAGAAGGCACATTGACTACAGATATGCCACACGGAACAGGTGAGACTAAGGGCCAATGCAATTGGGAGGGTTTCTGGACTCATTTTCTTCTTAAGCTGTAAACGTCTGTAACATAGAACACATGCACAAGGACGCTGAGGAAATCCCTGGCTACCAATGTAACGCATACATATCATGCATCTGTTCAGTGCCCATTGTGTGGCTCTGTTCTATGGCTTTCGAGATGCCTGTGACATAGAGGAAATTCAATTTAGTTGGTGAAAGCTGCATTTTGCAACAACAGGCTCATGCTTGGTGTGTTAAACCAAACCAGAGGGAGACGTTGGGCAAGGGCTGCAGCCAGCCCTTGCAAAGCATAGCAACCAACCTGGAGAGGCCTGGGCACCCTCTGGAGGAAAGTGCAGAGCTTTGGTTTTCTTGGTCTCTTGCTGACTGGGGACACGTGGGGATTTGCAGCAGTGCAGCTCTGCTGGTACAAACTGGGGCTCAGAGTGAGGGTGCCTGCTTGCTAGAAGTTTGCACTGGTACCGTGACGTGGCTGACTGACACCATGGGAAATCCTGAAGGTGGCCATGGCCTAAGTGAAACTCACTAAAGTTCCAGCAAAACCTGAGCAGCCTCGGCAGGTGTCTCCACCATGGTGGTGCTTGGAGTTCCAGTTCTGATCAACAGAATCACAAAATGTCACCCGAACATTCAAATGCTGCTGCAACAATTGTTAAAGGACTAATATCCCAACGACAACTAAATCAAAATGGCCACAAAACCCGAGACATTTTCACTCCACATTTTTCATCAGAAACATGTAAACAGAAAGAGGAGCAGTATTTTGTTTTTCACACAATCCCTTTGAGATGATAAACAGGATGTCACACAAGAGGTAGTTTTGTTATGGAAATTGAGTCAATAATGTTATCAACTATTACAAGACATTTTATAAAATGAAAGAAAACAATGAATCACAAAAGGCTTTGCTGAGGCTGATCGGCATGTGGTTTGGTTTGTTTGTTTATTTCTGCCTTTGGTGGCATTTCTGCCTTTGATTGCTTCTTTCATACACTTGTTAGAGGTCAGTGCACAGTCAGGCTTTTTTTCTCCCACAGTGAAAAAATAATACCTATAGTAAGCGAACATCTCTGAGCACGGACAGTCCAAGCTCAGGCTTCCAGATACTGGCACACCAGGCTGATGAGACAAACAACCCGCTAGCCCTGGGGATGGCTGCTGACCATTGTCAGATTCGGTCATTCTGCCACTGTCTGAGGGCTCATCTATATGGACACTCACTGCACAGCAAGCCAGGGTGTAAAATCCACAGTGCACAAGCCTGCTGCACACACAGTTTGTGTATAGATCATGCTGCTGTGCACTAAAAGTTCCCTAGTGTACTTTGACCTACCACTGTTTCAACCATCAGTAGGGAAAGTGCACGAGGGACCTTTCAGGGAGCAGGAAGGGCTAGTGAGCGCACAGCAGGCTGCTGTGCTGTGGATTTATACGAAGCATCCATATTGACAAGCCCTGAGACAACGACCTGTGGTGATTATATCATGGAATAGGGCTGGTTTGGATATTCTCTCAGTACAATTCTCAAGCAGTTTGAATGCACCTAAATCCCTAGGAGGTCTGCAGTGAGAAAGCTGTACTCTACAAAAAGAGGATGACTGCAGAGTCCTCACGGGTGCCATCATGGAGCCTGGCATTTTAAGGCGTGGCCATGAGCACCATGATTTTTAGTCTCTTCCGTATTTATTACGTTTTTAAAATGAGGTTTTTGAAGGAGAAAGCACAAGCCATTTGTAAAGTGCTTGGAAGAGGGAAATGCAGAAGTGCCCAGTGTTACTACAGCTCTGGGACCTCTGTGTTCTCCAGTACGGCCTGCCAGGAGCTCTCCGAGCACCAGGGGGCGTTTTCTCAGAGCGTGATTATGTTGTCACTAGGGCTCTCGATTAATTGCAGTTAACTCATGTGATTAACTCAAAAAAATTAAACGCAATTAAAAAAATTAATCACAATTACAATTTTAAAATCACACTATTAAACAATAGAAACCGAATTGAAATGTATTACATATTTTGGATGTTTTTCTACTTTTTCATATATATTGTATTCTGTGTTGTAATTGAAATCAAAGTGTACATTATTTTCGATTACAAGTATTTGCACTGTAAAAATGACAAAAAAAACAGTATTTTTCAATTCGTCTCATACAAGTACTGTAGGTCAATCTGTGTCGTGAAAATGCAACTTACAAATGTAGATTTTTTTGGTTACATAACTGCATTCAAAAACAAACAATGTACAATTTCATATCCTACAAATCCACTCAGTCCTACTTCTTGTTCAGCCAATCGCTTCGACAAACAAGTTTGTTTACATTCACAGGAGATAATGCTGCCCACTTCCTGTTTACCATGTCACCTGACAGTGAGAACAGGCATCCACATGGCACTGTTGTAGCTGGCGTCCCAAGATATTTATGTGCCAGATGCGCTAAAGATTCATATATCCTTTCATGCTTCATCCACCATTTCAGGGGACTGAGTGGACTTGCAGGCTCTAGAGTTTTATATTGTTTTATTTTTGAATGCAGTTTTTTTGTACATAATTCTACATTTGTAAGTACAACTTTCATGATAAAGAGATTGCACTACAGTACTTGTATTAGGTGAACTGAAAAATACTATTTCTTTTGTTTTTTACAGTGCAAATATTTGTAATAAAAAACAAAATATAAAGCAAGCACTGTACACTTTGTATTCTGGTGTTGTAAATGAAATCAATATATTTGAAAATGTAGAAAACATCCAAAAATATTTAAATGTTATCCTATTATTAACTGTGTGATTAATCGCAATTAATTTTTTTAATTACTTGACAGCCCTAGGTGTTGCATTAAAGATGCCCATCAAGATCAGCAGAGGGCACTGCTGGGTACATTGGGCTGAGGGAGGGCATTTCTATGTTTTATTATTTTTGATAAGTTTAGTGAAGCCTTAATGGGGGGAGGGGTTATTACAGGACACCTCCAGGCCATCCCAAGATTTCCCCTGCAGTTTGCAACCATCTTGGACATTTTCTCCTGTCAGCACATCAGTATTCTCTCACCAGTTTGCCCTGACAGACTGACATCGCTAATGATTATAATCCATGCAGTCACAGCATCTGACCTGATGTAACTCAGGGTGTCTTCTTACAGATTTGCAATAGCTCAGAACAGGCAACGTACATCCGAAGGAAATTGTTATTTGTTGTTACTGACTGTACACAAGCCACTGATGTAAGAACTCCGCACAAATAAAGCCAGATTTTTCTTCCCAAAATCCAGATGTGGAGATGCTTACTGAGATTATAATGGGCTTCCAAACAGGCCATGAAAGAAGCTACTGTTGCAACATCAAGATGAGGGTTTCAGTGGGTCACATTTAAATACATATCCCTGAGCTTCTGTGCGCGTTGCAAGCAACGCACTGAGAACCCAAAGAAACGCCACAGCTTGACGCTGACATCTTATGTAGTGTCATCTTTGATTTATACATCATCTAAAACTTACAAATTGGCTTCATACTTAAACTACTTCCCCAAGTTCCCCCCTTCTCCTGCCTTTTATGTGGCAGGGATGATTGCCGCTTCTTATCCTGAGAAATACAGAAATATCATCATCACAGACACCGAGCTTCATAGCTTCAAATCAAAACCAAGGACGAAGCAGAAGAAATGAACCAACGGTGATAGCACATTCACAGGAGGGATTTTTGTTGTTGTTTTCCTTTTAAAAAGTATTAAAGATAAAAGAAATTCAAGTTTTTTAAAAAAAGATTGGTTTGAAGGACTGGACTTTTAAAACCAATAAGCAGAAATGACCATCACTGCTTTGTGCCGAAGTCTGAAGAGTTTGTTCATACCAGCACACAGATCCTGTAATGCAGCAACATAACGGAGTATGGGACATACAGGGCAGACAACAAGCAAGACTCAAAGCAGTCTCCAGTCTTCCTACTCAGGAGAGGGGAAAATCCCGTTTGTTGTGAACCTTCTCATTTATGTTAGCAGGTTCTCCGTGTCAGCCCTGTGCATAGCAGAGTCCCTCCTAGTGCTCAGGCACACATATTCAGAAGGGACATAGGAACAGATCAGGCAGAGTTAGCCCCCCAGCTCTTTGCCCACTTCTTGAACTGAACCTCTCTGAGGTGTTATCTCCAACCTCCTATACCTCAACTCTGCAGCTGTGTTTGCACTTTTGGGCTCTGACAAGAAGCAAAAGCACCATAGCATTGGGAAAAGGCTCCCCTGGGACACTGAGCTGGCTGGAAGCAGGAAGTGAATCTTAGAACATCTGCTTTTGACAGAGGTCCAGCCCAATTTTGCATATTCAAGGGGATCAATAAATATCTGAACTGACAAACCTGACACAGTAGGGCCATTTTCATTTCAGTGATGAGGGTATTCAATACTCAGCTTCTAAACTGGCATATATACACAGCAACACTGAACATTTAATCCACAAGAGCTGCATTTTTAATCGTTAAGTTTTCAAAACATGTGGTCTGCTCTTTGGTCTTTATGCCTGTGCAACTGTGGATAAGAAAGTTCAGTACCTGAAGACATGGAAAAGTGGACAGCTACACGAACCACTGAAAAGCAAGTGTTACTCTATAGTATTGTCTAAAGGCTTTAGGAGTGAGCTGGAAAGGGTTAAAGTGGCCAAGATATTAACATTCAAAGAGTGGTAAGTGTGCATGTGAAATTAATATTTGCAATGAAGAGTTCAGCTTCTTCCCACCACATGGTACCTATTGAGGTGTTCATATTTCACACATTCAGGCGTTGGGCACAGCTTAGGAAAAGGCATTTCATCTCTTCACACAGTGTGTGCACTGTTGGGGCTGCACTGGTAGCTTCCCTGCATGCATTATGTTTTGGAAGGTTCTTGTCTTCCCCACAAACCTGACAAGCAGCAGGAAATGAGAGCAGAACAATGCGGTTCTTTGTTGCTGATGCCCCAACCTGAGAAACTAGACTTTTTGATGCACAGACCGTTCTAGATGCCAGTGGTGCTAAAGGAATGTTTAGCGTCACACAGACAGACAACAATGTGTTACACATGGTTGTAAGCATAGGTGACACGGTGGGAGGGTCATGCAGGGTCACATGCTGCCCCCTCCCCCCCCCCAATTTGCTGATTGGCTTGTACTGAGCATGCTCACATGGACTGAGCATGCTCAGTAACACTGCTGAAGCTTCTGCCCTCACTCTGCCCCCCACTATTGGCAGCCATAGGGTCATCTCTGGTTGTAAGTTTGCCTCCTTGTATTGGTGCTGCTGAGTATAAACCTGATAGGCCCCTCCCCCTTGGTGAGAACCCAACGTTCATGGTGTTTATGAAACTAACAATTTATAGTTATAACTGGCTTTGATCTCTTGCTGGCATGACACACTTGGCTTGTGAGTTATGTCCCCTTCTAGTTGCTGGTCCCCACAGAGGATAAAAGCCTACTACTGCTAAAGCTAATGGAGTAAAAATTTACTCTTTCAGCTCAAGTTGTGTTTCTATGGCCTTATTCACAACACTGAGGGCCAGTGGAAAGATTCCAACTGACTTCAGCGGGCTTTTAATCATGGCCTGCAGTGCCAGGTCATTAGCACATAAGTCCAGCACCTTCAGAACTGAAAGCAGTGACCTTGCCACTTGAGCTAATGGAGTAGCACACCATTCGCTGGTAGCAGCAGCTTCTTGGCAATGCAGTGATTGGCGAGAGATGATACTTAGAACCTGGAGTGTTTCCTGGAGCAGATTACAAGAACTTTAAACTTGTTCATTTGCGATTCCCAGACTGAGTCCCCCTCTGAATATGTGAGCATATGCACTTCAAATTTATATCCCAAAATCTGTTTGGACTAAAAAAACTCTTCAGATTTACATTTGCACAAATACTATGAAGGAAAGGATGGGGTCGATTGAGTTATCTTTCAAACCAGAGATAAATATTGACTTGTCTTGGCAGAAAATTCTGCCAAAAATGATTATTATCGTTTGAGTCTTCTGTCATAGAAGTCCAGATAAGCAACAGCAGATACCAAAGATAATGAACATCCCCACCTAACTAGCATTAAGCACAAATAAAATATGGTTCCCTGTAAACCGAATGTTATGTGAAGATTGGGACAAACAATTCCGACTTTTGTAGGATGTCCTTCAAACCAAATTCACAAATACATCTAGTGACTGACCTAATGTCACTACATTTCTAGCTACATTCCTATCTTCTCATCATAATACCTGAGTTTGCAATGCAACACATTCACTTTACCCTGTTTAAAAAACACAAGTCATTAGAGGACTTGGTGCAGAAAACATTAACGACTGTCCAGTGAGTTAGGTTCTGGTTCGGTATGTTAGTCTCGTTCTAGCTTGTGAATTTAGCACAGCTTTTATGCTCACTGCGATACATGGGGGTTTGTTAACAGATACTGCTGCCAATCAACATTTATCAAAATGGTTTACACAGTTGCAAGTAGTAGCACATCCCCCCCCTCCATCCCCATCAAGTTTATTAAATCTTTGCTTGTGCAGCATTTTCTTGGGGAGTCAATTAATTTTGGACAGAGTACAAACTAGATGTTTTTGTCAGGTATTTGGCAAAAACAAGTTTTCTAATGTTAGCATAGAGATCTTCTAATTAAAACAAACCCTTATTCATCAATAATTAATAATCTAATAACTGTGGAATAAGATTACTTCTGTGCAGTTAAACTATTCCTGAAATGTGTAAGCAAGCCAGAAAATAACCCGTAATACAAGTATCATGTGGAATTATTTGAAAATGAAAGTTAAAGCTGTCAATATTTCCTAACTTAGAAATAAACAGATACACTAAAATCTTCCCATGTATACTTGAGGTATATACTGAATGCAGAAGGCTTTCCTGAGAAATATGTGCTTGTCTCATTTTATAAACAGAAAGCAAATGAGATTCTTGAAACTAACTTTGGATTCGTCAAGTGATATAAAAGTGGACTTCTGCTGATCCCAGCAGCTGTTACCCGTAACATCTTATTTTACGAAAGCGTATATCAGCAGCTAGTGGACTACCTAAAGCAAGGGAAACAATCAAGTGGGAAGATCCACAAAACAGAACTAAAGAGAGCAACACTGCCTTTGGTCTACATGGTTAGTCAACAGCTTGTCTCTGCTGAGATGGTTTTGGATGGAGTAGTCTTCATCTCTTGGAGGCAGGACCCATTTGCACTTATCGTACAGAATAACTGTTGACTGACCTAGAGATGTGCCAAGCTAGCAAGTTCCAATGACTGTTGGGTTGCTATTCCACTAGTCTGTAGGTAGCATTTGGGGTTGACTTAATGATATGCTTCTGCTGTTCACCCAGTTCTTTTCTACCCACTAGCAGGTACAGTACTTCAGTGGAGAGCAGGGGCTTGTTCAGAAGAAAACACTGCTTCTCCTGACCACATATTTAATTTGTGCCATACACTCTGATGTGTCATGACTGGATAGAGGATGGCAAGAATAGAAGAATGGTTTCTCCCGTCCCAGAAGAGCAGAAGTTGTTTTCTGAAGAACTCAAGGTAGTTTAAAAATAGCAGGTTCTTTAACATTCAAAAATGTCTCAGCCTAATGTAACCACTCAGAACAGATTTACAACTAAGGGTCCCAGCAGAAAATTCAGCAAAGGCAACATGGCTGCCTATTAGAATGAGTGGGATTTCATAAATATATGAATGATGGAAACAGGGAAAGAAATCTTCCCCAGCTAGCAATTGTGTGGCTACAGGAAGCCATGGAGGACACTGAGGCTTAATGGACAGTAATATGTGTTGTTAAACAGCTGAACAGCAGCAAGTAAAGCATTTTTGATGTAATGCAAGTGACTGAAGTTACTGGGTGGAACATCTAAATTCTGGGAGAATTAGAACCAAGTAATATACATGAATTGTACTAAGAGCCAGGTTTTCCTACTACTCTCCCCTCCAAGCAATAAAATGGTACATGCAGCACTTGGTTAATACCCATATGTTCTCCAAGGGTCAACAGACACCCAATAGCAGAGGATACTGAAATCTCTTATCAGAAGTCATTTATTTTATCCATAGGAGGGATAGAAGCTGCGAGGTTTGAAGTGTTCGCTGATGTCAATTACTTGTAACTACTGCAGTAGGAAATCCTCTTCACTGGAAAAAGAAAAGGAGTACTTGTGGCACCTTAGAGACTAACCAATTTATTTAAGCATGAGCTTTCGTGAGCTACAGCTCATGCTCAAATAAATTGGTTAGTCTCTAAGGTGCCACAAGTACTCCTTTTCTTTTTGCGAATACAGACTAACACGGCTGTTACTCTGAAACTCTTCACTGGAGTAATTTAAAAACTAGGCCAGATCTAGCCATGGAGAACGTATATTGCCCAGGCTTCTTAGAATGCTTTTCCAGTTTGTGATTCTAAGAGATAGCATTTAGCCAATAATTAAATTATTTGCAGTCTGCCTGGTTTATTTCTGCCTCCTTGTTCAAAGCCTGTTATTAATTACGACACAATTCCAGTTTGGTAGGAGAGTCGTGAGGGAATAATCATGCATCAGTTGGAGAGAGAGAGAGAGAGAACAATTCTGCATTGCCCTGGGAAGGGGAATGTGGGTTAGGGGTCTTTCTCAGCCTTGGAATGCTGCAATTCTCGTGACAGAATTTCAGGGGGACCCAATTTACATCATGAGAGCTGCATTTGAAAACTGATGAAGTTTAGCTAGTTGACCAAAAAAAGTCTTAATTTCTCCCTCTGATTCCAGAGAAACTCCATTTTGAAATCCCTAGATTCCTGGCTTCCATTTTAAATAAGCAAGAGTCACTCCACCACTGGCTGACAGCTGCAGGTCATGTAGCACTAGGAAGTGGTAAACAACAAATGACAGATCACAACACTGAGGTAAGTAACGGCCAACTGGAATGGCGGATGTGTGACCGTTAGCAAAGTAGGGTATAAAAGTCAGCAGCAGCTGACAGTTGAGAAGGCAGCTGAGCAGAGAGCTGAGAAGGCAGAGGGAGGCGTGAAAGAGGTGAGGGTGAGACGAAGGAGAAGCAGCAGTAAGCAGTGGGAGAAGAGAAGGACGCAGCAGAGGAGTGGAGAGAGAAAGAAAACAGGGAAATATACTGTGCCGTCAGCTGAGTACGGTCAGACAGAGTAACCGGTATAGTTATAACATAGTCTAGTGTTTGCGTGTGCGGGGGGGTTAATACAGATGTATGCATGTGTGTGTGGACTGTGAAAGGGGTTTATACGTGTAAAAGCTAATGGACATCTAAAAATGGCTGTCAGCTACCTGCGACAGACTGACCATCTGAAGCAGGGAGCATCCACTCAGTATCATTTCAAGCTATAAGGCAATGTGGTTTGAGGTGCTCTTTAACTTGTTATGAGGGATTTGTGTTTAGATTGTTACTGTGTCAAGAAATTGTTCAACAAAAGGTGCCTTGTTTTGGAACACTGCTTGTGTCAATCATTTATCCACGGCTGTATCTGTGTCCTCCAAGTATTCCCTTAGCCACCCTGGAGACCCACACTTAATGAGAACAGGTTGGCTATTCTGGGGGTACCCAAATTCTGGTTTTGGGGTAACACCTTTGCCCCCACTTATCTTTTTTGAAGCTTGGCACTTCTCTGATGCCCACACTCCTCCAATATTCTCCAGCATTTGGGATGCTAATAGTTCTCCCAGTGGAGTGAGGCAGTTTGCTCTCTAGGCAAACACTTTGGATATGAATAATGAAATGATCAGTACATGAACAGCATCTTCTCATTGAGGTAGTCTTAGTCATATCGGCCCCCAGCCCCCCAAATACAAAAGAACTAACCCTAACAAACACTGTAACATTAAACATCTTTACATTCTGTAAACTGCAAGAGAATGCAGCTGCTGCATTCATACAGAACCATGTGCACTGTGTTGAAGATCATACATTCAACTCTGTCGTGAAATAAATATATAGGAAAAGAGTTTAAAAAACAAAAACAAAAGATTCTTGCTACAGTGACAGGGCTACCTGCCACCTTGTCTCAGCAGCTCTCTACTGCCTTGATCATGGTTTTTTTCCCCCCCTCTCTCTTCACATGTGAGCCAGTTCCCCACCTGAAGCACTAGAGCAAGGCATGGGTTCGGGGCAATGAAGGCTCACTCTTTGCTCACGCTTGTCTTGCAGGAATGCAGAACGGCTTTAAAAAGGAGGGGCAGCTGCTCCAGAGGGACATTCACCATTTTTCCTGTTAAGAAAGAATCAGAATTAGCTGCCATTCCTGAGCCAGATTTAAAAAACGCTCATCTCCAACAAGCTGGTGACATTGGAGACAGTTTCACCTTGAACCTTTAGAGAAACAGTAAATCACCCAATTCCTACATTAGACATTTGATATTCTTTTGGAAACAACAGGATGTGTTAAAGAGTGGAACAGAAGCTAAGTGCGTTGGCGAAGTCAGATAAAAATGATTTCCCCATAATGGAAGCATATTTATGGAAGATGGGAAAGAACACATCCCACCTGTCAACCTCCCCTGTCAATCACAATGAATAGATTGTGTGTGTGATGTGTCCACCTGGTGCCAGTGGACAATCCTGCTTGGTATGACAGAGGAAGGTGAAACACGCAGATCCTGATCAACGTGCCCCAGGGAAGAACATTTCTTCCCAATCGCAAATAATCTGTGTTCATTATCTTAACATTTAGGTACAAATGTCTGATGTTCTCATGAAGATCCTGGAATAATTCCTCTAGAGCCAATTAATGATGCATTGAGATGGAAAATTCACATGCAGATTTCAGTAACCCAAATGCCAGGGAAATTCAGATTTGGGGACTTCATTCAAGCCTATCTAGGCTTTTATATTGTGATATTCACTAAGGTATGCAAGTGCCATCCCTAGATTCAGAGCGAGCTCCTCCCCACGAGGCCTGTGCCATCGACAGATCAGGGTTATTTCTGCAGCAGAGAAGATACTTCAGAGTTGAGCCTGAAATTAAGACCCTAAGGAGGTTTCGATCAAGATACTAAGGAGAGCTCGTTATTTGTGAGAAAAGAATATGCCTTCTTACTCCCTAACCTAGGAACTGGAGTTTATCACTCTTTGTAAACACAGATGGCACTGGAGATATTTATAACCAGACCCAGTTGTTACACTGGGTTTAGCCTGGTAGAGAAAGGCTCACATAGAAAAGGTCCCACACTGGCACTGCTGTCCAGCCAAGTAGCTAGGAGTTTAATTATAAAAAGAAGAAAGTCTCCTTTAAAAGAGATTTAACGATTCACACAGGGGCCAGCTGGGAGAAGAGATCAAAAAGTTACCTGCAATGTATCGTATCTCTGGCAAACACATCATTAGATCTGGAAAACGGTTTGGCTGATGTGGGTACTTGTATTCCGTAAAATCCTGGCACACGTACCAATACCGTTTATTCAACTGCTCCAGTTGGGATGTATTCGTCAGGCCCCTAATGTCTGAGTGAAAACATAAGAATTAAGTGACTGGGAACAGCTGTAACACTAGAACAAAACCAGATTCAGATTCTTCCTCATCACTATTCGAGTCAGCAACTGTAAAATGGAAGGACAAATCCATTTATAAAACTCAGTCTAACAAAATCTACCTAAATTATACAATGCTATTGAGCAGAGATTTCACGTTTATAGTCACCACAGGATTAAAATTTCACCCTCCTCCTCCAGGACATACTGTAATGAGTATCTCCTACATGTACACACTTCAGATTAGATGTGAGGGTACAAGATCTTCCTTTCATAAGGGACACGGATGAGAACATATAATGTCCTAAGTTGCTCAGGCTCAGAGATCATGAACCTTTCAGAAGATAACAGCTCTAGCAACCTTAAATCTCTACTTCCTTTTTATAAAGTAGCTATATGTCAAGGCTTTCAGTCCTAGCAGAGGGTGCAACATAAGATTTTCCACAGAAAGCAGCATGTTGATTCTAGTTACATGGTCTCATCTCTATGGGAAGTGTTCAGATCAGTAATTGAGGGTGTCGTCTGTTTAGGAATTTCACCACGTGAGCTTTATAAACTTGCCAAGCTTTTATTTTAAAATTTAGCATTTCCAAATGTCAAGCAATTTCCTCAAAGTAGACATTTCAATGCTAGCAAAATAATTTGAGAAAATCCCTCTGAATGTATTTCAGCATGATCAATGACATTTATATACTACTTGATGTCATGGGAAGGGATCCAATAAATTAAGAATAGGCAAAATATGAAACTCCTCTGAGGCTCAGTATTGTTCTTCAGAAATACTGTACAAGGGAAGGAGCATTTATTTGCTGTCCAAAAGCTGACCTTTAAAAATAATTTTCAGGTATTCCACATAAAAAATTTGCAAACTCCAACTAAAAATAAAAGAAGACAGGAAGTTAATGAAAATACATTTTGGAAAACAATGGAGACAGCTAAAGAAGTCTATCATCCAGTGTCAGGAAACTGTCCAGGGAAGCAAACCGGAATCTGTGCCGGGGCACACACTGAAGTGTCAGCACAAAACACTTGGTATAACTAGGGGGAGGAGGGGGATTTCAGCATATCCTTGCAAAGTAGAACACTTCCTTGTGGTACGGAAAATTCCCAGTGGTTCTTATTTCTTGAACTGCTTTTGAAACTCACCTATGAGGCTAGTGCCATTGAATAGCTTTTCATTTATGCACAGGCAACACACAGACCTGTGGTAACATGCTTCATACATGAGCAGTAACATCATACACACACGAGTACTGACATGGGAACCACACCACGATGTCAGACTGGAGTGACCCATACCAAGTGTTACTGAAGAAATTGAACCTTCCAAATAATTTCAGCATGGCAGAGTTTCAGAGAAAAGACCAGTAACTTCCCACCCTGGACTACCATTGCACAGGGCCGGCTCAACCGGTTTTGCCGCCCCAAGCAATTGCCGCCACGGACAGCAGGGGAGAGAGAAGCTGCCGCCGAATTGCCACCATGGCGGAAACTCTGCCGCCCCTTTCTGACTGCCACCCCAAGCCGGCCCTGCCACTGCAGAATCCATTTGCATGTTATTTCTATGCTGACTTCATGAATTTTGAAGTGTTAGGAGTTTCATAACAGAATTGATGGACAGCTCTGAAATGCTGTGTTTGACCACAAACATGGAGTCAGTCCTGTATTAGGCAGCATTCATTACCTGCAAATATTACTGCATTAGGCACCATATTAAAGGACAAAATGCATATTTTCACTTTCTTAAAAAAAATGTCAGACAAAAGTATTAGGTGAAGGGAAACACAGTGATGAAGAATCCAGAAAACCATGCCAGTGAGGTTATCCAACATTTAGCGCACAAAGATTTTTCAAAGCTAATAGCTTAAATTGGAAAAAAGTGATGCAAATTGGTTGTCTTGATTGCTGCCTGTCAGAAAATGCCTAGACCAGTGATACTCTGACTGAGGCTCGCAAGCCACAAGTGGCTCTTCAATGCATCTCCTGAGGCTCTTTGCAGCACATGCTATTAAAACACTGTGTGATTTAATTATTAACCCATCTAAGTTATTAACGAATCAGGATGCTTTTACTATGTTATTAGCCAATTGTAATTTATAAAATGATACTTGGTCAGTAATTTTGCTGGGAGAATAAAATTAAATTACTCCACTGGATGCATCCGATGAAATGATCTGTACCTCACTAAAGCTTATGCTCAAATAAATTGGTTAGTCTCTAAGGTGCCACAAGTCACTCCTTTTCTTTTAACACACAGAGTGAATTCACACAACTGTGGCTCTTTTGGGTAATACTAATCGTTAATTTGGCTCCTGAGCCACTGAGGTCTGAGTGTCACTGGCCCAGACCCTTCCGCCATGAGCAGCAAAATTTTCAGATGACATGCACCTTGTGCATGATGAGAAGTTTGCCACAACAGCTGGTAGGTAATCAGTCATTCAGGCCTTATCTAGAAAGGTTTCATCAGTCACTCTGCTCTGTTCTTATTCTGCTGCTGGTAAAGTAGGTACGTATTTAAAGTGACGCACATACTGTCCTTGGCGTCTACGATTAAAGGCATTAAAAATTGATCAAGCAAAGTGAATCCTTTTCACTTCCTCTATAATTGCTTCATTTAGGTGTCTGAAACAGCACACACTTAATATGGCTTTAACTGTGCAATCGCAAAAACAAAAACCTTTTAATGCTCAGGAGTCCATTTCAGTTTGGATTTAGGACCCCCCCTTTCTCTCCCCATCATCCAAAGGAAGCAAAGATTGACTAGCTTATTGACTAGTCATTTACTCCAGTGGGACTAATCCCTTTCTTCCACCACTCACCTTGATTTAGGAAGTTAATGGCTTTCATACATGCATACTCCTCATTGCTGACCTTCAACTGGTTAAATTTGCGGTAGAGGTAGATCAGCCGTTCCATCACCTCCATTCCCTCTTCACTGAATCTGAAGGAAAGGGAGACTGATGTACACAAGAGGGTACTCAAAGAGGAGAGGTTCTTTGCAATTAAAAGTAGGGAGCTTAGTGACTTACTAAAACTCTACGGCGCTTAAAATACTTTAATACCTTGCATTATAAATCAGAGACCCAGAAGCTTCAGGTCTGTTGACACTCTTCATGAGAAGCAAAACTGGTTACAAGGTGATTCAGAACAACATATTTGCCAGTTACATCAGACCTTTAAGGAAAATGGGGATTTTGTGGGTGCACATTGGTGTATATTGGCATAGCTGCTTGTGGATATGTGATGCCTGGTCATGGTATTAGGTTGCTATGACTGGGAGAAACAAGTATTAGAAGTTCCTGGCTCTGCCAATGATTTATTGCATGGCCCTGGACAAGTTACTAATCCTGTTGTTTCAATTTCCCCATATTTAAATGAAGATATTTCCCCACCTCACAGGCTCGTTGTGAGGCTTAATTCACTAGTTTGTGTAATGGGATGATCCTTAGACAGAAAGCTCTGGGGTTGTGCAAAGTATTATTATTATACACTCAGTAATAGTTATACTGTATTTTATGACCCATCAACTGTGCAGGTCCATCTAGGAAGTTTGGTGAAATTTATACGACTTCCAGCTAAATTATAGTTATTCACTATTACAAGGTATCCATCATAAAATACGGGCTGCAGGACAAAGGAAGGGTTGAGAACAGGGACAGGAAAACCTCAAAAGCTTTAGTGGTTTTCTTCAGATGATATTTTTCAGAAGCTCTTATTTAGAAATTAGTCTAGAAATTTGGAAAGAATAGACTGTCCCTCCTGTTCCTGCTACTCATCTTGGAACAGACTCAGCAAAATCAGGCTTGCCTTGCCAGGTTCAGTATGTGCTAAGTATCTGATGGTTGGTCCTGGACACCCTAGGCCTTCATGCTGGATCCAGGGCACTCATTTATCACATTACACAGCACTCTGCCTGCTTCAACACAGCCACTTGTTCTTAAGGCTTTATACAGAAAAAAAAAAAAATATCACGCCATCCTCCTCCACTCACCTTCCCAGCACTTCCCCAGTTCTCTCTCTCAGCTCCAGCCCTCTTTTAGCTGCCTTCAGCCTCCCCAGCTTGAACTTTTCTCCTAGCCATGCAGGCTGTAGGAATAGGATGTTAGAACATCTCAGGTGAGATGTTCACCGGTCACACAATGTAGTCATGTCATGACTACAGGTGATATAAACGTGATCTGTTTGTCCCATTTGGACACAGGTTTCCTCCCCCATTTCCAACAGCATGGCTGTACCCCGCCATGTCAGAATGAAACTGCACATGGAGGGCACATGGATATGTGCTGATGTGCAAAGCTTCAGATGTGAGCTCTAAACTAGCAGGTGAGCAGGAGATTACATGCAAACGTGGGAGTCTGATGCATGAGAGAGAAAACGTCCAAGCAATTTTAGAGTTAGGAGGAGGTGCTGAACTCTTTCCAAGAAAAGAAAACACACAAGGTACGTGTAGCTTGCTTACAACAAGCTGCAACTCTCTCTCTGAGCTAGGACACTTGCCCAAAGAACTTGCTAACGGGGAGGGACGTGTAATACAGTAGGTTGGGAAGGGCTCACAACAGTCCAGTGAGTGCAGTCTCTGAAGAGCTATGGGAATGACCTCAATAGAAACTCTGTAGTGAAGAGTCCTAGTCCCATAGGGAGTCCTAGATTTCTGCAGGAGGAGTCTGAGAGGACCCCTGCTTGCAGGTGACTGGATCACAGGACAGTAGACAAAAAGATGGCATAAGTGACATTCATGAGGAGCTGAAAGTACAGATTGCATATTTCAGTGTTCTATTTGTGCAAATGGCCAGTAGCCATTCCTGCTACATGTGGTTTAAAGCAATAAAGGCTAGTTTGGAAGAAACAGCATGTGGCATAAATCTTTAGCAGTGAGACAGAAGTGTTCAGGAAAGCTTCAGCTGTGTGTTCTGGCATTATACAGTGCACAACCAGAGCACAGCCAGAAAGCCATCTCTGAACAAAAACAGAAGAAAAATAAACCCCCCACCCTTCACTGAATATCATCTGATTTTGGCACGTGTATTTGTTTACTTCAAAGTTATTTGTAAAATGCATGGTGGAGTTTGACCTCAGAGAAGAGAAAACAAGCTGTCTGAACTTTAGGTCAGTTCTTCAGGGAAGTAATATTGTAAGTGATGAAAGCCTTGTCGGCTAATCTAAAGTTGTACAATTTTCTTGCTCTCAACTTGACATTAAAAATCCTGCAGGTGCAAGATTGCAAAGCTCAAGAAGTTAATGAGCACAAAGACCACTCACAATCCTCTGCTGGGTCTAATTGTTTTTTGAACATGCACATTTTTACCGACCACTCGTCACTTCCATAAATCCAGGAGAGCTCTTCTCTCATGCTTGCAGAAGAACAGTCTTGGTTTTCCGTGCATACATTCCTCCCCTTTTCAAACAAAGCTGTTCTGTTTTGCACAGCCCTATTCCTTCTGGAGCACTGACTCCTCCACACACTGTCTGCCTCACAGCTTTTACACCAGTCTAATTCCTAGCTATGTATGAGCAGGAGTGACAGTAAAAAGTTTAAGCTGCTCTGCATTTTATTTGCATTTTTACTAGACTCCAGAGATTTAAACATTAGATCTAGAAAACAAACACCATTTTGCCAGCAGTTTAAATCAGAATTAAAACATGAAAAAGTTGATGATATTCATTCATTTTTCATCTACTTATATACTGGCAGTCACGGTTATAGCCAGGTACAGAAATAAACTACAACCTTCTAAGTGCCAGGGCATCTTAGATCAGCATATTGTTTTTAAATTGGCTAACAGACAACATGAATCTCAGACAACAGCAGTCATTCATGAATATTGGAGAATCATTACGGTGAGCCGCTCTACCATGAAAAGAGAGCCAAATAAAACCCTCTGTTACACCCAGGTAACCCCAGTGAACTCACTGGGGTTACACTGGTTTATATGAGAGGATCATGCAGACCTATGTTTCAATGAAGAGTCAGTGACTGCTTCAGAAGAGATGGCCTCTGGTGTTACTTGCTGGAGACGCAAGTAAAAAACACTGCTTTTGTTCCCCAGAGGGACAGCTGGCTGATAGAAACGACGGTTACAAAGCCAAGTCTCTAAGGTGCCACAAGTACTCCTTTTCTTTTTACAAAGCCAAGAGTAACTCGGAGTGTAAAAGGCACTTTGAGCAGCACATGCTCATTAGGGCAGCGCTGAGCTGGCCAGTGGCTGGTGCAGCAACCTAGCTCTCTGTCAGACTTGTGAAATCCCAGAATCCAGTAAGAGGCTGACCAGGAGGAAGAAACACCACACACTGATTTAGTAATTAAAGATAAAAAAGAAAAGGCAAGGCGTAGTTTTGGGGGAGAGAAACTGCATGACTGAGTGGGCACTTGCACATGTAGGCCCCTCAGCTGTGCACCTCACACAACACTCCTCCTTCCTCCCAAATGGCCTGGTAAAGCTGCGTCTCCACTTTTTTGCGAACGTCAAGTAGTGATAGTTTAAATGCTGAATCAGTAACTGAAGTTAAAGGAACCATTCCACTGTCAGAACAGATCTATTATTTTAACCCCTTGGATAAATACACAGATCTTCTCTAAAGCATCCCTGAGGCTGGCAGGTTAGAAATTGGCAGAGTCGGAAGGGTTAAGACGACTCCTTTATTATCTCTCTTTCATTTTGGGTCTGCCTCATATTTTATACACGTCAACTTTTGGGGCCTTGAGAGGGAGAGCTTGAGCATAAGCAAACCTGCACACAGGAGTAAGTGCTTGGCTCTCGCTGTGAGATTCCTCATTGAAGCTGCACTCGTTGCACTTTGAATGTCTATTAGATCACGGATTATTTATAAAATGACACTCAAGATTTACCATCCTATAATTACCATGGCACAACGACCAGCTCCAGCAAGGGCAGAGCCACAGAAGGTCAAATATTAACAGGGAGGCTGGGCAGCCAGTTAAGTAAATCCTGCAAATGTTCTGTCACAATGCTGTCAGTCTCTCTGCTATCCAAACAAGAATCGTCTGGGACTCGGACTACAGAAGAAAGAAAACTGACCAAGATGATGAATTAAAGGCAGGTCATCACTTGGAGCATCAGATAGCACTGTTTCCTCTGCAGTGTCAGCTAAGTTGCAACATCATTAAATTTATGTAATCAAAAACAATGAAATAGCAATTAATAACATAATATTGTGGAAACAAGGTCACTAGCTGTGTGATCAGTTCTTCATTCTCCTTCTAACTGGGAAGCTTTGCGAACAAGTTTGTCATTTTGTATCTCGTGGTTATTTACAATATTTATATAGTATTTCTTTGAGCCTGAGTAATTCCTCACATAAAGGGGCTCTCCTCTCAATCCTAGGGTGAAGAAAGGAAGAATTTCTATGGGAAAACTGGCCTTGACACTAGGTTATCACTCTCTGCTTTTCTTCAGAACGCTGGGAAAAATCTGTATTGTCCGAGGGGGATCTTCAGTAGTTAAAAGGAACTACACTGATGAAACTAGAACTATAGGGTACAGCTGCTCAGTGTTGTGCCATATTCTTTTTTGTACTACGTGCAGGGATTACTCCCAATTTGTGCCCCTCTTCCTTACCCTCACAGCATAAGTACTGCGAGTACTACAGTGTGTCAGGCAAGGCCCCAGGAGCAAGCTTTTGCTGGTTGATTGGGTTAAAACATCTAGAAATGAATCATTTTACCCCAAATTTTTGTTTAAAGTTCACTGCACTTTAATTTCATCAGGTCTTAATATCAACCCTGAGGAAACAATTAATAAAAAGCAATCTGAAATAATGCACTGAAGCATCTTAGAGAGTTTCAGAAGAATGCTTAAGAAATCTGCCATATTCCATCAGAATAGTTGGGGCAAACTTCTGTGAACTATATACGCTCAGACGGATGTGAAGAAAATGAAACCAGCCATTTCAATGACAAAAGTAAACTGAAGTCATGGGATCTCTCCCTCTGATCTCACAGGACCTGCCCTTTTTCCTATCTCGGGTTTCAAAAGGATATTTCAAATTGAGAATTATTTAAGGCCTCGTCTACAGTTTGAGCCCTGATGTTAAATTAGCACAGAAACTCTGCGTAGACTAGTTCTAGATGAGTCGTCTTAAAGGAGACATAAGTTGAAACCCGACATTTATGTTTTATACAAATAAAAATTGGAAGCTTGCGAGAGAGAAATCCTCATTTAAAAAGAACGGTATTTTTTTAAACTAAGAGATTTTTGAACATTTCCCTGCGTACAGGGAAATCCAAACATCACAACCACGTGGCAAGAGCAAGGGCCATGATTTTCAAAAGTGATGGCAAAGCTGATTGAAATTTTGAGTTGTGATTGTGAAATCACAAGTCACTAGACTAGACGTTTTTCCTTAAAACTCAAAATTTGGGCACTCAAAACTGAAAGCGAAATGGACTCGTTTAATTTCACAGTCCCAAGTGAAATGAAGTGTAAACAAACAACAGAAGTGGCGCTGGTAAGTTGTAAGAACATCATGTGTGCTAGGAATGCAGATAAGGCATATTTCACATATTTAGGGTCTGATTTTCCGAAGTGTTGAGTCTCCATATCTCCAGTTGAAATCAATGAACTGTGGGGGCTCAGCACCTCTGAAAACCAAGCCAATGCTATGAATCTCAAAAGGGTCCTTTAATACAAGAGCTATATCCCCATTCATAATTCTTCACACCAGCTAAGGCTTTGTAGGATTTAAATGTTGCAATGTAACAGACTTTTGACTTTCTCCCATTTATGCCTGTCACCCTTGAGAGCAGAGCTGAAATGACATTCCTCAGCAAGCTAACTTGAATGGAGCACACTGAAAGGAGGCCAACCTGTGCACAGAAAGAGTCCAGCAGAGGGCAACAAAAATGATTAGGGGACTGGAACACATGAATTTTGAGGAGAAGCTGAGGGAACTGGGGATGTTTAGTCTACGAAAAGAAAAATGAGGGGGGATTTGATAGCTGCTTTCAACTACCTGAAAGGGGGTTCCAAAGAGGATGGATCTAGACTGTTCTCAGTGGTAGCGGATGACAGAACAAGGACTAATGGTCTCAAGTTGCAGTGGGGGAGATTTAGGTTGGATATTAGGAAAAACTTTTTCACTAGGAGGGTGGTAAAACACTGGAATGCGTTACCTAGGGAGGTGTTGGAATCTTCTTCCTTAGAAGTTTTTAAGGTCAGGCTTGACAAAGCCCTGGCTGGGATGATTTAATTGGGGATCGGTCCTGCTTTGAGCAGGGGGTTGGACTAGATGACCTCCTGAGGTCCCTTCCAACCCTGATATTCTATGATTCTCTGACAAGGTTTTCCGGAGAAAGTCGATTCTTTCTATTACAGTTTTGAGTAATTGCCCACCTCCACAAATAGACTTTAATTTTCAAATATCTAAATGGCTTTCAGGAGACAGAGAGGCCTAAGGACAACATTGGGATTAGGGCTACAGGCAGAACAAAGGGAATGCACCCTACTCCTGGGGAGTGGCAGGCATCACTCCCTAGGCAACCCTTCGGCAGCTGATTGACAAGATCCAGAGGGCATTCCGCACAACCAACCCCATGCAGGGATTTTGAGATGGGTAGAAAGGGAAGGTACCCCTCCTTTGCCCACATGCTCCCCACCAAAAATTTCTTCTCTTAAGCAATGATCCCTACACGTACATATAAAAGATTTCAGAGTGATTTACAAGGGTGGGGACTATAATCCCTTCATACCAAGATGGAAAGTGAGATGCCAGCTGAGAGACTTGTCCAAGGATAAACAGTGAGTCAGTGACAGAGCCAGGAACAGACCCTCTTCCCCCCATCAGCTCCCCGCAACCCAAATGACTAGATACTGCTACAGCCCCAGAAGATTTAACCCACCACCTCACCTGTGCAGCTCATCATCAGAGGGAGAGTACTTGGAGGTTACATCAGCAAGGTCACCAAAGATCTGTTTACTGTAAACGGTTAGTGAGGACAGCAGAATCAGCTCCTGCCATGTGGAACTTAGCAGGCAAGTATAGTCCTTGATTGAGAGTTCACAGAAGAATGGCAGCTTCTTAATCCAAGCAATCTGCCTGAAAAGCAACTCATCTGCCAGACGACACAGCAATGCAAACAGCTCTGCCTGAGTCACTTTATACCTGCAGTAACAGTTAATAGGAAAACATAAAAACGGATTAAAAACATTGGAACACAAGGCACCAGGACAACAAGATAACATCTGCGTGTGTCTTAATTCCTGGTGACCACAGTGTCACCCAGTGGTGAGAACAGAAACTGACTGCTGGCTTTTCTGCTCCTGAGCCCACAGATAGCAGGTGATGAAAGGTACCATCCCTGCACCTGTGTTTTTCCCCAGAGAAGAATGCCATCCCTGCAGATGCTGACTGAACCTAACTAGCAATCTTCTCATTCTACCAGCAGCTCTGCTCTCAGGAAGCCTCCTGCAGTCCTGGATACCAGACAGATTAACAAGCTGCTGCTGCTTCCCATTTACAAGGGAAGCGGACGCTGTACTCCAAAGATGTGCAAATTATTATGCAAAGAACAGAAAAGTGATTTCACTTGTGAAATAGATCCTCTCAGCCTACAGACATTAGCATCACAGTCTCAGCTCTAGCCCTTGGATGACATTCTTTGGCTACTGGTTTCAGAATCAGGCATAGTTTATTTAATTATCTATACACATGCAAAATTAAGAGATCTGTAAATACGTTATGAATTTAAATACTCAAAAGGTGTTCCCCCAATAACAATTTATGCACGTTCCATGTGCTGTGCATACAGAGACAGTACCGGCTTTACAATGGAGCGGCTCAGGGCAGCCTCACTCCACCAAATCACGTGCACTTACCCATCTTCAATAAGCATTGGAGTGCCAAGTGGTTCCAGGTCCTCAGCTGACACTAACTGATTGATAAGACTATGTGACTGGGGATCTAGGCTTCGGGTCTGTGGGGGCATCAGAGCTGAGTGAGCAGAATAGTTAAAAAGGTGCGGTAGGTACTGATAGTGCGTGGACACTGGAGTCCCAATATATTGATCCCTGAGTGCAGTGAATCCATTCAGCTCCACAGACCTACTGAAAAGGGAAGATCTATTTAATAGACTGGACAAACTCCATCTAATTCATTACAATCTCTCATCCAGCTCAGGGACAGATGGAAATAACGCTTCATAGAAAAGAAAAGGGATGAAAAATCCCTTCTGGTTAAATTCTGTGGTGAAAGCAATCAAGAGCATGCAGACAAGCTGCTTCATACTTGCATCATGTCCAGCCTGACCTCCATGCTAGTTCCATTTACTGTGATTTTCTAAAAACTCTGCCGCTTAGAAAGCATTCTTAGATTAAATCACATAGCCAAGGTTTGTGCTAAGCATTTCCATCTCTACTTACTGAAAGGCCCAGAATTTAGGTTTGTGAATAAAAAGGTTTACAAAACCTATGAATAAAAATATTTTCATTTACATTTTTAAAACTGATAATGGAAGAGTATGTATGTGTGGGGGGACGGAAAGAGGGCTGGGAGGGGGGTTGGTTTGGCATTTAAACATTCTTTCCCGTGTTTGCAACCCAAGTACTGAAACAATGTGCTAGGGGATGCGAATCTGAGAGTAACACAAACTATAAAGTAATTAGAAAATCAAATAAGCTGACTAGCTCATTTTCAACATACAAACGAAATGAAACGGAAGAAAGTAAACAGACAGCATTAATACTGAAAGGTAAATTATGTGTATAAAATTTTCAGATTTTCATAATCTGAAGTGGTATTAAAACAGATTAAAATATTTGCTTTAAATGTAAGACCTTTAACACAACGTTTCTTTGTCAATCTTTCATGAGACTTTTACTCTCAGATCACACTGGATTGATCTAACACAGTGTATATGTCTCTAGCTAAAATATGTTTACAAAGAGGTCAGCATTCGCAAGATGTGTTTGATTTACACATCAAAATGCTCATTTTCACTTTTGGCCCAAAATGCAGCCCTCAGGGAAATACAGGCAGAGTTACATTCATCTGAAATTCTTCCAATGGAAACTCCCACCTTGAAGACGGAGTAGAAACAGGTGATGGCTGGTTGCTCTCAGAAACTCCATTCCCGGGAGAACTATGGTCACTGTCTCCATTGTTACTCCAAGAGATGTTTGCCTCCCCCTCAAATTCTTGTCCAGACATAATTCGTTCTATCTCCTCCTCGGATATCTTTTGGGTAAAAATGACGACAGTTAGTGAGGCTTATTCCAGCCAAGCACAGAGTTAAGCGAGGCTCTGAGCTGCACGTACTGCTGCTTTAGTGTGGAAAAATTACTAAAGCCTAGAATTCTTGAGAGGGATCTTTTATATGAGAGGAACGTTCAAACACACTTAAAATCTTCCATGCTTTTCTTATTGTTTTCCTATTTTTTACTAATGAGAGATTTGTTTTTAAATAAGGATTACAGAATTATATGACTGCCCAGTCATAACAGTACAAGCCAAGTGAAGTCAATGTGGTTCTACTTAGGGGAGGAAGTTCGTATAAATGAGGCCAGAATGAGAGTGTAAGGCAGAAAGAGAAAGTTACTGACCTTATAGAAACTGGAGGTTCTTTGAGATGCGTGGTCCCTATCTGTGTTCCACTGAGTACACATGTGCTCCACGTACCAGGAACTGGAGAATTTAGAAAGCAGCATCCATTGGTCCACACATGTGCCCCGGCTCACTTCATACCTCCGACAGAGGAGATAAAGCACGGGGCAGACTGACCACCTCTGTCTTCTCCACTGCAAATCAGAGAAGTTCCGAAGCAGAGGGGAAGGAGGGCAGGTAGTGGAAGTGGAATACAGACAGAGACCACACATCTCGAAGAAGCTCCAGTTACTATAAGGTAAGTAACTTTCTTTTCTTCGATAGCTGGTCCCTTTGTGCATTCCATTGTGGGTGACTGACAAGCAGTACTCGAATAAGAGGAGTGTGTTAGGTCATAGATGGCAGAGCCAAATGAAGGACTGATGTTCCAAGAGATGCAATCAGCAGAGGAGTTCTGCACCAAGAGACTGTGTCAAGCAAATGTATGGACTGAGCTCCATGTAGCTCCCTTACAAATATGAAATGGAGGCACCTCTTGAAGTGACACCATAGATGTTGCTTGCGCTCTTCCCCATGAGGGGAAGATCAGACAGCTGACAGAGCAAAATACACCCAGAGACCCATTTTGAGATTCTTTGAGAGGATATATCCTGACCTCTGACCCTTTCTGCTATGGGATTTCTTGATTGTTTCCCTTCTTTGCAGGTAAAAGGCTAAGACTCGCTGAATGTGAAGGGAATGCTGCCTTTCTTCTGAGGATGTGTGAGGTTTTGAGAAGAACACAGGTCAGTGGATACACTGGTTCAGGTGAAACGCAGAGACTACTCTGGGAATTAATTTAGGGTGTAGACATAATGAAACCCTGTCCTTATGAAATACAGAATAAGGAGGACCTACCATCAATACCCCAAGCTCATCAACCCTCCTGGATGAGGTGATGGCTACGAGGAATGCAACTTTCAGGAATAAGACAGACATGGAGCAAGAAGCTAATGGTTCAAAAGGAGGATTAGTTTAGAGAACAAGGTTCAAGCCCCATTGAGCACGAGGCTCTTTTTTTTTTTTTTAAATAGGCAGAAAGGTTCTGATTGACTAGCAGATTCTGGAAAGGCCTAGAGGGTGTGCAAAGATCAAGTAGCTCTGTGAAGGCAGATGGTATGCACTGATTGCTGCCAAGCGGATCCATAACGAATTGACAGGCAAACCTGCTGTCTTCAAGGAAAAAATATAGTCCAGAATGAATGGAATACCTGTTGCTTCTGGAGAAATAGGCCTGGAGAAATAGGCCCAGATAAATGCTTCCCCTTGACTAGGTAACATTTCCTAGTGGAATCCTTCCTATGAGGAAAGACATTCTGCACAGCTTCAGAACATGACTGCTCTAAGGATGACGCCCATCCAAAAACTAGGCTCTGAGATGAAGCAGCCGTTGGCTGGAATGCCTGATAGTGCCATGCCCTTGAGTCAGGAGATAGGAAAATGTAGGAATGTGATCGGTGCCCAAAATGCCATGGGAAGGAACCAAAACCATCTGGGCCAGTTGGGGGCAATGAGATTAACTCATGCCCTTTCCTGCCAAATCTTGTGCAAAACTCGAGGCAGAGGAGTGGTGGTAGAGGGAAGGCATAGTTCAGATGATCTGACTATGGAAGTAGTGTTGCCCTGTGAGTGACAACTCAGGGCTCCTCTAGAACAGTATATGTTGCACTTTCTAATTTGTTGGAGAGGAACAAGTCCCTGGTGGTGTCCCCTGTGGAGCAAAAATATTGTTTACCACAGAGTCATGAAGCTCCCACTTGTGATCAAATGCAAAGTGTCTGCTGAGAGAGTCCACTAGCACATTCTGGTTTCCTCAGGGGTAGACACTGACAGGGTAATCTGATTGCCAATGCACCAGTTCCGCAGGCTGACCACTTCTGCACATGGCAAAGGGGAGGGGGCAGGTGGGGCTCACTCCTTGTTTGTTGTTGTAAAAGACAGCTGTGATGTTGTCTGACACAGAGCGCATGGTGACCTTGAACAAATGGGAGAAAGGTTTTGCAAGCTCTTCGAACTGCTTGTAACTCTAGAACATTGATGTGCATCTGGACTCTCAAGATGTCCAGATTACTTGCTCTGTATGGTTGTCCACGTGGACTCTCCAACCCAGCAGTGATGCATTGATAATTACTGTCCTGTCTGGTGCACAGGCTACTGCTTATTGAGGACCAGTCTTGGCAACCATTTTCCCGTCATCTATGACAGCCTGGAAATAAGCTCTGTCCTGCTGGGGGAGACTGTCAACGGAGTCTGTGAATTTTGAATAGTTTAGGAAGTCATACTTAGCCAATAGTGCTTGGTAGCTGGCTATTCTGAACTGGAGGCTAGAAGAAGAAAATACTTTCTCCTTCCCAATAAGTTGAGATGCTTGCCCTCTTTATCAGTCAGGGTAGATTGCGGGTGTTTCTGCCCAGAACTCTCTTCAGCCATTTGGACCACCAAAAATTAGGAGTAGAGTGAAAAAACAGAAATTCCATCACCTTGGCTGGGACAGAGTCCCATTTCTCTGCCCTCTTGGGCATGGAGATGCAGGTAGCTGGGGATTGCCAGACCACCCTAGCTGGCTCCAGGATAGTTTTATTAACCAAAAGCACTATTCTGCTGGAGGCGGAGGGCTGAAGGTTGTCCAGGAGCTTGTGTTGAGGCTCCTGAACCTCCTCAAGAGGAATCTGCAGCTGCCCTCCAATTTTACAAATCTGTTCCTTGAAGTGCTTAGAGTCATTGGAGGAGGCTGGAGACACTGAAATCACTACCTCATTTGGCGATGAAGACGGCAATCTCGTCTGATCTTGTAGAACTGCTTGATCCAGTGTGTACTTCTATTCCTCAATAAAATCTGGGGGCAGCTCCAGTTGTCCCCTCAAAGGGGAGGGAAGGGGTGACTCTCCAGCAAACCACTGAGATGGTACTGGTCCCATGGCCCCCAGCGTGGCCAAAAGAACGGGTCAGATGGGGGTTGCTGTTGTCCCTAAGGCATGACGAGGCAGAGGTTGGTCCCAAGCTGTTCCTGGAAGGTGTTTTGGAGGAGGACATAATGATCCATCTCCTAATGAGGAAAAAGTTATTTTAGTTCCAACACGGTTGCCACTGTAGGGAAATCACAGCCCAAAGATGGATAGGGAGATAAACTCCTTCAAAAGGCCAGCTCTCCTGGTGGGAGATGGGGGAGGGATAGCTCAGTGGTTTGAGCACTGGCCTGCTAAACCCAAGGCTGTGAGTTCAATCCTCAAGGGGGCCATTGAGGGACCTGGGGCAAAAATTGGGGATTGGTCCTGCTTTGAGCAGGGGGTTGGACTATACCTCCTGAGGTGTCGTTAGAAGCAGCATAGGTCTCGTCTCTTACCAGAGCCACACTAGAGACAGCGTGCCAAAGCTGTTGAAGTCCAATGGAACTGCATGTGACCAATGCTCTCAGCTACCAGTCTTCATTGGTGCCGGGGGAAGTCAGGGCTTGTGCTCAGGAGGTACTGGTCCACCCAATCATGACATGGTGCCAATGAAGCCCTATACTTGTGGGCTCCCTTATCATGCCTCAGACTTAGTATGTACTAAGTTCCCTTGGGCTGGGTTAGTGCTCAGTTTACGCAGGGCTACATATGACTTAAGTGGATTTGGAGGAAGACTTATCCTCTTGCTTATGAGAATGCTCCCTGCTCTCCCAACAAGACTCTACTGAGGGATCTGTGAGGGTAGACTCCTTCGTTCCTGTTGCTGAGTCAGGCCAAAATGGGGGGGTAGGGGGGGAAGGGTCCCTCAGCCACAGTCTGATAGTGGCCTCATGGCCCTTTCCATTAGGTGCTTCCTAAGGGGAAATTCCACCCTTTCAGGGTATGGCTAGAGAACAAACAGATACCGCACCTTGCTGCAATGTGGGCTTCCCTGAGACAGTACAAGCAGCATTGGTGGTTTTCACTGACGGAGGAGGATCACAGGCAGGAAGCACAAATTTTGAAGCCCATAGTCCTGGGCACAGTCCAGTACCCAAAGGAAGTCTGGGGAAGAGGTGGTGCTCCCCAGGTCAGAGAGACTGGCTAACTATAAAACACTAAAACTGGCAGATAAAAACTTCGAAACTCTTGAATACTAAAACTATTTAGAGATATCTAAATACACTTTCACAGCTAAAGAAAAAAGCTGAAGCATTCGAAACAGGAGTGTCCAACCCGGATCAGGAAGTGGTGAGAAGGAACCAGAGAGGCAGTCAATCTGCCCTAACATTTATGTCCTCAGTCGCAGGCACAAGGTGAGCCAAGGTACATGTGTGGACCAATCGACACTGCTTTCAAGATTCTTCAGCTTCAGGCATACCCACAGCATACACACAGTGAGATGCACATCAGATTAGCACTGGAAGAGCAATTACTAGATCTGGACCATTTTGCTTCCTTACAGCCCACAGCATTTCCCTATGATTTAACTGCATGTGTCTGGAGAGGTGAACTGCGAAATTTGGAATTAATATTCCAGAAGCAGCAGCTGGGCTGGGATCAGTATTATTCAGATATTTCTCTCCTTTTTTTTTGGTATACAGACCATATTTCCTTTCCTTCCCGTCCACTCCAGTTCTGTGCTGTAGTGAGTAGAGATTTTCATAGATGCACAGCCATGGACAGTGTCATGTAAGGCTCTTTCTATATTATTAAAATAAATAGTATTTTTAAAATAGTGTTTCTTGCTGCAGGCTGGAAAATGGCAAATCATTTCTCACTTGTTCAGGAGAAGCTATTGTGCCAAATTACCTAGCATTTTATAAGACATCTCCAGACATGCTGCCCCATCAATCAGGAAGACATTTATTGGGTACCCCACTTGCAACAACTTAAGAAATTGTGGTATGGACACTGCAAGATTTACTGGGAGCTTTGCAGGGATTGAAGTGCTTGTCCTGACTTACGAAGGACAGAAGGTTTCCTACAGTCTGATCAAGTAGTTTAGAGATTGTCATTTTATTCATGTAGCCAGCTGATGACATGGCCCCAGTGGGTTACAGGTTATGTCTCTAGGGCCAGGCAAGATCAGGGCTTTATTTACAAATCTGCTGCCTAAATGGAATGCATCCTTAATGACACGGGGCTGGCTGGAAGATTGTCACCAAATTAATTCAGGCCTAAATCTTGGGCCTGGTTGCTTCCATGGCATAGAGCCTTGAGATGCTACGTAACCGTCCTGGGTTCTGCGGTGCAGCAGCCAACACAGATCCTAAAGAGAAATATCCAGCACATTCAAGGCAGTCCTGAAACACCTACATACCCCCCAACTCCAACTCAACCCCTTCTCCTAGGGTGTGTTGTCCACGACTGTGCCTCATGCGGCAGTTAGAGGCAGCAGAAATGATGTCAAGGGACGCTCTGAGCATATGCAGCCTCCCGGCAGGATAGCAATGTTTTCTCCCCTTCAAAGCCTTAACGACTCGGTCACCTTCCCCGTTTCCTGAAGTAGCATGATGGTGTCTTTGTACAAATGTGCTCTGGTGTCATGTGATTAAAGGCTAACAAACAGTACAGAAACTGAAGAGCACTGCACTAGGGAAAGTGAAAATACGCTTACCTGGACAGGTCCAATACTTTTGTTCCTGCCTCCTGGCATGCCATCTTCTCTGATTGCTGAAAGGAAAGAGCCAAACGCTGGTTAGGAACACCACTGTTCTTTCGCATTCTGGAATGCTATTACACAGAGAACACCTGGCCTGCAGGAAATCGCCTGTTGTCTAGAGAGACATTGAATTGGAGTTTTATTTTGTTAATTAAGGCAGCTCACGTGTATTTCCCCCCGGGGGAAAGGAGAGGCTGTGTAGTATGTATTGAGATTCCCACTTGCAATGTGAACCACAAAAATATTTACTTGGCTGACAAGGGCAATCAGAGATTTAAGTAATATTTATATAGCCACTGCAGATCCTCAAGTGAAAGGTGATGTAGAAATGAAAAAGTACCATATCACCACCAACTGCCTGAAAATTCAAGAGATGATAAAGGGAAAGCACCCCACTGTACCACTAATGAGAACTGGTTGAAGTAGCAATGTTCTCCACAGCAGGGTGTGTCCCCCCTTCACTAGTACTGGGATGTATACGCCTATGCCAGTGGTGGGCAAACTTTCTGGCCCGATGGCCACATCCAGGTGCGAAACAGTATGGAGGGCCGGGTAGGGAAGGCTGTGCCTCCCAAAACAGGCTGGCCACGGCCCCCTATCCGCCTCCTCCCACTTCCCGCCCCCTGCCTGTCCCCCTGAAAACCCCCAACCCATCCAACCCCCCTACTCCTTGTCCCCTGAACACCCCCTCCCGGAACCCCTGCCCCTAACTGCCCCCCCCCAGGACCCAACCCCCTATCTAACCCCCCCCCGCTCCCCGACCGCCCCCCCCAAACCTCCGCCCCATCCAACCTCCCCCTGACTGCCCCCCAGGACCCCCTGCCCCTTAACAACCCCCCAGCCCCCTTATCATGCCGCTCAGAGCAGCATGTCTGGCCGCCGCACCACCAGGCCGGAGCCAGACACGCTGCCATACTGTCCTGCATGAGCGTGCAGCCCCGCCACCCAGAGCGCTGCCGGCGTAGCTGTGTGGGAGGGCAGACAACAGGGGAGGGGCTGGGCGCGAGCCTCCCGGGCCAGGAGCTCAGGGGCCGGGCAGGACGGTCCCACAGACCATAGTTTGCCCACCTCTGGCCTATGCACTGTGCACAAAACCAATAGCAAACACCTCTCTGGATTAAACCAGGGTCCTTTCAGAGTGTTAACTGATTCCCTCTAGTGTTGAGGCTGCAGACAGCACAAAAGACAAGAGGCTTCCATCCCTGCTATTGCACAGGGTAAGGTCTCCTCAAGACACCACAGAGCATGGAAAGGACACACTTTACAAGTTGCCTGTATGTGAACCAGTAACTTGAAATCCTAGCTGTTCGACTAGGTAAGGAGTTTTATTCCAAAAGGAGGAAGCCCTTTGAAAGGCTTCTAAATAGTGAGGCTTCATTTCTTAAAGGCTCACAAACCATTTATAGAAAGTCTCAATTGTATTCAATTTAGAGCTAGTTTCACCTCTATTTGGTGTTTTCTCTATTCTCCCACAACCCCACTTTCTTCTATTACCAGGGAAATCCTGCATGGGAAAAGGACCATTGTGCCAAAGGATTTCAGCTGTTCCTGCTGCTTATTCTTCCAGCTGAAGCCCCTCTTAAGTTTGTGAAATTGTGACTCAATAACCCCTTTATGCTGGCAAGGAGGTTCCAGGAATGCCCTGATTCTGGTAGGTACATTCTGGTTTACCACAGAATGTCACGTGAGGTCTTTAGTGAAAGATCAGTAATGCTGGTCGTTAGTATCACACTGAAATGTACGTACTGACATTGTATGAAATTACATATATAGACAAAAAACAGGCTCCTAGAGCCCATACAAAGGTCTGAGTCTCCAGCAGAGGCGAAAACTAGACAAGAGGTGTTTATTTACCTGTCTCTCTGTTAGGATGCAAATTAAGCACTGCGAGCTAACACTCATTTATATACAAAGTCAATGGAGAGATGTGAAAATCAACAGGGAAGCAGCGCAGAGGAAAAAACCACAGGTGGTTATCCTGTCTCTGAGGACAGACAATGAACATTGGGGAATTCAAGTAGAAGGCAAAAAGGGGCATCCCCATATCCTGCATGTAGGAAGCAAATGGACAGCGTGTTTACATAATTGAAAATGAAATCTCATCCAGTCTTGATTGAAACACTGCAAGGCACTTTGGGGATGAGATAAATCTTTTTAGCCAGGAGGTTAGACTGTTAGTTAACTTTAGTCCCTAGAAAGCATGCTACAATTTTGTTTTATATGTAATCACCATTTGTTTCCACTATTCATACTTACTATCGCTTGAATCCTGACTTTTTGACAACAAACATTCTTGTTTTCACCAGAAACATATCTCAGTGCTGTGATCAAGCTGCTTATCCGGAGTCAAATCATACAAAAGGGTGCATACACCATGGGTGTAGTTTGGGGGGGTGGGGGTGGGGCATTGTCCCCCAAACTGCAAGCCTCAGGCAGGCGTGAAATTTGCTCCCACATGAGCAGCCCTGTTGGCCTGACTGGTGCTTCCCCCCCTCCAAATATATAAGTCAAACTGCACCTATGGTGTACACTGTTCTTTGGGGCTGCAGATCTGGTATTTCTGTGAGTGTTCAGCGGATGAGTCGCTGACCACTACAGGGAAATGCTTCAAAGGGACTCAAGGACTGGAGTGCACATATTGTAAGGCAAGGTAAGAGCTGGCATAGCCCAGAGGAATGTGCTTGAGTGACTGACAGGTGGTGCTGTCATGGAACTGACAGCCCGTTAGGCATAAGCAAGACTCCCTCAGGCTGGAGGGAGGGGGTGAAACAAGATGACTCTTAGTCCCGAGTATCCTGAGAATCGACACATAGGTCACAATCCCTTTCCTGGCCACCCACCGTAGACACAGCTCAACGTGGAAGACGACTCATCCCAGGCGCAAAGCAGCCTCTGACTGCTGTGGGGTACCCTCACCCTCCCTCTGCAGGAGCTGATGAATGACTCATGCAGCAGTGCACAGTAAGGGGGCAGGAGTAAAAAAATAAAAAATATATATATAAAAAAATCCAAGGATAAACTTCAGCCCCAGTACGAATAATCCCAGGGAAGCCTAGTGACTCCCAGTAGCAAGTCACTGTTTCAACAGGGGTTCTCCAACGTTTTCATTCTTCAGTGCACTTCATCGGTGAGATGACTTCAAGGTATGTTCACCCTGCAGCTCGGAGCAGGCCTCGCAACCAGGGCAGAGAGACTCACACTTGCGGGGCTTGAGCTAGAGAGCTAAGAACAATAGTGTGGACGTTGAGGCTCAGGATCCAGCTCGAGCTGTCAAGCCTACCTGACTTCCAAGGCTTGAGAGGCCCATCTGCAGCCTGAACCACAAGGCAAGGGAGAAGCTACCACAGCCGAAGCTGTACAGATAAAAGGGCATCACCTCTGGCTGGGCAGCCTGCGGACTGGCACTCAGGCGAGGAGGCAGCAGCAGCATTCTTCATTAGCCTCAGGAGGGAGAAGATTCCATCCACAGCCCCGTAAAACCAGACTGCGTTAATGAAATACAGAATGCCTGAAGGATGCCTAGGAGCTAGCATCACACACATGGGGTCTGTGTTTTACAGCATGCCCTGTCACTCCAGCACTGCCCACCTCCCTGCTGAACTGGTTTGACAAGCTGCCAGCCATCCTTCAAAATAGGCATGTGCAACCAGAAGAGCAACTACAGTCTCCAAATGAGCGAACACCTCCTACAACCTCCTGTACTCTTGGGCCTATTCTGTCCACCCGCAGCACTGAATTGTAATGCTTACCCTGAACACTCAGTCACTGAACGGGATCTTCCTCTTCATTTTGTTTGCTTATCTGATTTTCATAGCAAAGGTGTAATCCAGATCAGGGCTCTAGCTGATGCAAGCCCTATACTTTGTACTCACCGATACTACTTTATGCAGACATCTGCAGAGATGCTGCACACCTGGCAGCAGCAGTCCTTTTTGCTGTTCAGCACCCCTATTTTGGACTCCCCCTTTCTTTACGCAATAGTAATTACAAGGTGCTTTGCCTGCCTCAAGGTTTTTTTTTTTAATCATGCTTAGAAACGTCATTTATTTAGTATGTTTTCAAGTGGGATTTTTGAGAGATTTTTGTTACCCCTTGTGAAGTGCTCCCAGTTCTGTAATGCCTGTAGACGTGATGTTTGGTGATGGGTCACATGTTGGGGACAGTTCTGTTAACCTGTGTAACATTTCTTTCATGACTTACATGCTAGAAAATGCTTGATGCTAGAACAGGCTGCTCTCCAAGCATTCCTGCACTACCTGTCTTGGTTACCAGGCCCTGTCAAAGGCTCTTCAGGAGAGAAATGGCAAGTTGGACTCCTTGTAAGCTGAATGCTAAGGGGCCTGTCGACCCTACAAAAAGATACGTTTAAACATGGTTGTGAAATATATTTTGGACCAATCATGCTATAACTTTTTTTCTGGCCAATGAGGACAGAAAATAAACCACTGTGAAATTATGCTTGAAACTTGGTACCTACTGGGGTAAAAAAAATGAGCAACTTTCCTGTCCACCCAATAGCCATATAACAACACATCTGAGCCACAAAGATCTTTGAAGATGGTGAGTTGATAAGTTACACAGGTCTTGTTTGGAAACCCCCCCAGTTTAAAATTCATTTATTTTTTTATACACACAACTGAAAAGCCATCCAGCCTGGAGCATTGTGAACAGCTATAAATAATGTTACCACCAGTCACCCTTTTTTTTTTTTTTTTTTTACCATTCTAAAAGAACATCTGGGTTTTCATCTACAGAAAAAGCCCTAGCTATTTGACTTTGCTCTTCAGTGAGATTAATTAATGGAGTTTCCCAGGAGAAGGGACCGAATGGCTAGGCAGCAGTTCTGCGGAAAAGGACCTAGGGGTGACAGTGGACGAGAAGCTGGATATGAGTCAGCAGTGTGCCCTTGTTGCCAAGAAGGCCAATGGCATTTTGGGATGTATAAGTAGGGGCATAGCGAGCAGATCGAGGGACGTGATCGTTCCCCTCTATTCGACATTGGTGAGGCCTCATCTGGAGTACTGTGTCCAGTTTTGGGCCCCACACTTCAAGAAGGATGTGGATAAATTGGAGAGAGTCCAGCGAAGGGCAACAAAAATGATTAGGGGACTGGAACACATGAGTTATGAGGAGAGGCTGAGGGAGCTGGGATTGTTTAGCCTGCAGAAGAGAAGAATGAGGGGGGATTTGATAGCTGCTTTCAACTACCTGAAAGGGGGTTCCAAAGAGGATGGCTCTAGACTGTTCTCAATTGTAGCAGATGACAGAACGAGGAGTAATGGTCTCAAGTTGCAGTGGGGGAGGTTTAGATTGGATATTAGGAAAAACTTTTTCACTAAGAGGGTGGTGAAACACTGGAATGCGTTACCTAGGGAGGTGGTAGAATCTCCTTCCTTAGAGGTTTTTAAGGTCAGGCTTGACAGAGCCCTGGCTGGGATGATTTAACTGGGAATTGGTCCTGCTTTGAGCAGGGGGTTGGACTAGATGACCTTCTGGGGTCCCTTCCAACCCTGATATTCTATGATTCTAAGGAAGGAAAGAAAGGAAAACTAGGGAGGGATAGCTCAGTGGTTTGAGCATTGGCCTGCTAAACCCAGGGTTGTGAGTTCAATCCTTGAGGGGGCCATTCAGGGATCTGGGGCAAAAATTGGGGATCGATCCTGCTTTGAGCAGGGGGTTGGACTAGATGACCTGCTGAGGTCCCTTCCAGCCCTGATATTCTATGATTCTATGATTCTTTTTCACTGTGGTATGCCTGAGCAGTGGCCAGGAGATGTCGCTGTTTCCTTCTGAACGAGCAGCAGCTAAAGCCTCCCCTATGTACTCCCTATGTACAATGGCAGATTAAAGAATTCCCGGAATTTACCGGAGCCCACTGAAAACTGGGACTCCAGCTTTCATTGCAGAGCAGAGACTTGGAATGTAGTCAGTCCAGGGAAAGGGGAGCTAGCAGGAATGAGGCCTGCATCACTTCACAGTAATCCCCCATTGGCCACTCAAGGAGCAATGGAGATTTAAACTTTTGTGGGTCGATATTTAAAGAATAGATTACTGTACGGTTTTGATAATGTCTCTGACAACTGCTAGGGGAAGGTGGTGCATTTCTGGTGTGGCAAGGGCCTCTCACCAATAGACTCGGCATTATCATAACATCTACAAGAAGGTAGGAGGCAAAGCACACCAACCAGGAAAAGTAAAGCGACCATTTCTCCAACCCTGGGGAGTTTTGATCATTCAGAACACAATTCTCCAAGTTTAAATTTAGCCAGGCCTAACCCTTGTTCCCACTGAGCAAAATGCCCTTGGATCTTTTATGAGCACAAATGGTCAGGGCATCATTTTTTTCATCTCATCTCAAACACCATTTACTGTAATGAAGTTTCACTATAAAACAGTATTTGTGGAGCTCTGGGTTTAGTGACTGTATAACATATTCTGTAAGAACATCTAAGAATGAATTTGGTGATGGCTTTCACATTCGTGATAACAAAGTCTTAGGAGAATTAATAGTTGGGTTTAAAAGAAACGACATTTCTGCTTCTGAATCCAGGAAACAGCTTTTCCCACAAGGACTACTCATTTGCCTTCTGAGGCCTAATACCCTCTATGCATATCAAAGGAGCAAGCCTGAACAATCACTGTATTACAGCTTCACCTCCTTCTACTCAAATTTCCTGTTTGTTGTTGCTAAGCTAAAAAAAATCTGCTTTTAAAAAGTTTAGGAGGCCACATTGCCAAGGATTTAAATGGTCAAAATGTTGGTGCGCCAGTGAACACAAATGCATACCAAAATCAAACTAGGAAGGTTAGTTTTTAAAAATCAGTTTTTCATTCCAAAGAGTAAAAACAATCCTTGTCAAGTTAAAACAGGGAGTTGATGGGCTAATTAACCACATTAAAACTTCTTTACAAGAGCACTTTTCTATTTAAATTAAAAGCCCGCATCATGTGCGCACCCTAGATTACAAAAACCCTGCATGGCCCATTTAACCACACACCAGTCATCCCCTGATCAAAATGACAACCATATTATCTGATGCTGCATTGCATTTTAGACCCATTGCTTCTGTCAGTGTTCAGATGAAAGGAAATATAACAAAGATTTACTTTAGGTCTTTTCACAGACAATGTCTAAACTGAATATTCCATTATAAAACTGTCACCCGTAACTCCTCTCCCTTCACTGACTAGGTCAGTTTTTGGACCATCATTTCTGTGGCCATTCCACAACTAGTTTAATAGCTATATGATACAAAGGCAGTAAGCCACCACACGAACTAAAACAAATGGATTTTCTCCTCAGTAGTAGAGAGGCAATCACATCTGACTAAAGAAGAAGCTAATACAACAGGTTTTCAAACTGATCAGTGGGTTCCAAACTTGATCTACCTAAGGAGATTATATGACAGAGCTCCCCAAATTAAAAGTGCAGAGCTCCTACTTTGCATCACCCTGCTTGGTGAAACTGTACCTGGCAGAAAAGTGGTAGACTATTAATGAACTATTATAAGAGCCACCTCATGAAGAAAGTTCCAAGTGTGAGAGGACACATTCTTTGGGGGATGATTGAGGAAGGGTCCAACTATGGCCTGTGATTAAAAGTCAGGCATTCCTGATGTCCGTGAAATCTTTTCCTGTCCCTAGCTTTCAAGGCCTTTCTGTGGTCTCCAAGGATTTTTTAAAGGGCTATTTAAAGCTGTTTCAAGGAGGAGTACTCCAGCAAATGGTAGCTGTAGTAAAAGTCCCTTCCCCTACCCTTTCCAAAAACATTTGTCCTTGCTAGGACGTCATGTTTGGTTACGTTTTAAAAATCAATCTTGGCACAAGTCAGTTTTCCAATTCTAGTAATGGAGGCACAAACTCAGGTTTCCTTTGCACGGCATAAACGAGCTGGCACAGATTCAAAAGTGAAAGACAACATGCAAAGAGGGTGCTGCACTGTTACCCTCACTGAGTAGCTGATCATGGTAAACAATTTTAATTCCCATTTTTAAAATGGTGTCAGCTCTCAATCCCCCCCCCCGCCGTTGCAACTCCATAGGTTTTTTGACAGAACTGGTTTGGAGCAAGCACACACAGGCCTGGTCTACACTAGCCTCTCTTCCCTAAAATTTAAGGCAGGAGATGAGAACTGAATTCCCACAGAACGCACAAAAGACATTTAAGTAGAGCCCTGCAAATCTGCGGATATCCGCAGACCATTCTTGCAGATAGTAGATCGGATGCAGATACAACAGCAAAGGGCCCCTGGCCTGTGATGTCCAGCTCGGGCAGCCAGGGGGCATATTGCACTCAGGGCCAGCAGCCAGGGCTGGGCGGCACCCGCTCGCTGTGCGGCTTCTTGTCCAGCAGCTCGGGCCCTTCAGGCAGTGCCAGCATCCCCACCATAACCCGGCCCGGCAGCACTGGCTGCGCTCCCAGTCCCAGGTCCGGCCTGCCGGCTCCTGGGCAGCAGGGCCCGCCCCCAGCCATGCGGATTGGAGAGGGCAGGGCCCCATCTCCATCCCTCTGCCCCTCTGTGATGGAACACACAGTGCTGCTGCCGTGTGCCATCGCTTGTGAGTCCCCGGGAGCAGCATGCGATGCGATGCCCCTATCCCTCTGCCCCCACCGCGCTGTCTTCTCGAGATTCTGCCCCTTACCCCCAGTCCCTACCGTTGCACTGACTTGTCCCCACCCCCAGCCCCTATAAGATGGCTTGCTGCTGCAGATGCAGACACAGGTAAAAGACAGCTAGCAGATTGCATACCGGATCGCAGTTGATCTTGGAGGATGTGAATCGGGTGTAGATCCTGAGCAGAGCTCTACATTTAAGTAGGGAGGAAATTAATTGCTTGAGTTGGATTAATCTTCCCTACCTGCATAACACAAAAGCATGCCTATATTTGCCTTTTCTGTTAATAGGCAAATCACAAATTTCTCACCCTTCGAGTGGTCAAATAAGATAACAGTCTCTCAAAAGGCTTACCTCTAAAATGAGAAGGTTTGAAAACTTTCACCCCAGAAAAGTAGTTTGGGGAACATGATAAACCCCTGAAAACCGGGAGTAAAAATGAAAATGCCTCCTCAATCAGACACCAGTGTGTAGTGTCACTAGAAAGGACAATATGATACAGTAGTGTCAAAGCAGGTCAGTAGAATAGTTTGACAGGTACTGTCCACATCCAGCACAGATTCCCAGAGCACAGCAAACACTGTTACTAAACTGAATCAATACTGTCTTTCGCACCAAACCAAAATTATAAGTGAAGGGGATACCCAGTCCCCTGTGGGAGCAGAGAGAGTTATTCTTGTTAGTTTTTAACTGACTGCTTAAAGAAAACCAAAATGTTATGTTTTGAAGGTATTGAAAACTCAAACCAAAGAAGAAATCTTTCTACCCTCTCACAGAAAGAGGTGGCTTCTGTCACACAGAGGAACTTGCTGCAATGTCCTGCCCTGTGTGTGCACACTAAACAATTAAAGAAGCTTAATTCTCTTTACCTTTCCGATTCATCCCCATCTGGAGGCACTTGAGCAGCCTGCAATACTGGCATCTGTTTCGCTGTTTGCGTGACATGACACAGTTCTTGTCTCGACTGCATCTGTAAACCCGCTTGTTGCAAATGCTCCTTTTGAAAAACCCTTTGCAGCCTTCACAGGAGATGATACCATAGTGCAGACCTGTAGCTCTGTCTCCACAGATAAGGCAGGTTCGCTGATCAACCCGGTCATCTGGAAGAAAAACAACACTTTGTAGTTAGAAAATGGCATGCCTGAAAAAATAAATGATCTGAAACCTTCCTTATTCAGTGAGATATACATGCCTCCACCCTCGCACCCCATGTCTACAACAATGAAAATTAGATCACCGTACACCCACAAAGTAGAACCTTGTGAAGCTCCTGGCATACACACACAGCATACTACTGACAGCCCGAAGGGAACCCTTAGCACCAGTGAGATCCTACAGAATAGGTCTGTGTGCATGGGAAAGACATCCCAGCTCAATCTCAGAAATGGCCTAATTTCAAATTAAATACTCAAGAAGATTTTAGGAGAAGTGTGTTGACACTGAAGACCTTTAACAAGAAAGGATGAGCATCTAATGGTTGAAATCCAAGCAGCAGAATGTCCTTGGGTAGCCACAGCATTATCGCCCTTAAGGAAGGTGTGGCTAGATTAGATATATAAAACATGGTGTCTCCTGTAAGGAACTGACAGTGTTCCACTGTGGACTTAAGCATCACACAAGGATCTGAGAGGGGAGTGCCAAACCTGCTTCTTGAAAAAAATCAAATCAAATCAAACAAAACAAACAAAACCACACTACAAGAGAGAAATAGGGCAAAGAGACACACTGCCTGCTCTTTCACACTCCCCCTTCCATGTACCACTTACAGACACTTGGATATTTCCCCTAACCCGACCATCTGCTACCCACTAATAAATAAATGACCGAAGAAGTGGCCAAGAGAGAGATTGCATCACATTTACAACATCAGAATCCAATACCATAACAACACCATAGCAGAAAGATGCTTGTCTCCTTCCCAAGTAACGCAAAGAGAAGAGTTGAGATCAGTAGTGAAGGTTTCTTAACTGCACTTATATTGTCCCCACCCAGACTACAAGAATTCAAGTGCTAGGCTTCTCATCAGTTTCAGTCTCCAAGGGGCAACAGAACAACAGATTATGAGCAGTGATTCATTATCAGCTAATACTGAGGTTTCTCCTTCCACTCCCAGGCCTGAAATCTTCGGTAACATGTTAAATCTACACTTTCCAGGAGTCCCATTTGCAACCATAATAAACAAATAAAGCATTTCATTTCAATTTACATCAGGGGTTCTCAAACTGGGGGTCGGGACCTGTCAGGGGATCACGAGGTTATTATACGGGGGGGGCGGGGGGGGGAAGCTGTCAGCCTCCACCCCAGACCCCACATTGCCTCCAGCATTTATAATGGTGCTAAATATATTAAAAAGTGTTTTTAATTCATAAGGGGGGGGGGGGAAATCACACTCAGACGCTTGCTGTGTGAAAGGGGTCACCAGTACAAAAGTTTGAGAACCACTGATTTAGATTATTTCAGATGAGATCAAGACCAAGAATTCTAATATGATCTGGTGGTGGGAAGGAAGAAATCATACAGAGGAAAGTCTAAGATGCCTTAAAAACAAACAAAACAAAAAAAAACCCCACAAAAGTGCCCCATTCACCCAATAAGTTAATTTAACAAAAAAATTATACAAATGTAAGGGGATTGTTGGCCCCTCACGGAAACTTACGTGTTTTTTTGGTTGGCCCTCTCCCAGTACCAAAAGAAAGGGGAAGGGCCAATGAGATATCAAGACCCTGAGTCTGACAGTCCCCAGGGCCAATGGGGAGAGGCCAACACTCAGGCCAGCAGCCTGACTGACAAGACAGGCAGGCCAATGAAGGGAGTCTGGAGCACGGGGTCCGTACTCCACCTGAGCTGGAGCTGCCTGGCCAGAAGGGCTGAGCTAAGGAGAGCGCAGAGCGAGAGCCCCAGCAGCAGTCCAGGGAGCGGAGCAACAGCAGCACTGAAGCACAGTGGAGCTGGAGCAGTCCAGAGCCAGATGCAGTGAGCAGCTGGGAAGCACAAGAGGGACGCTAGCAGAGGGCCCAGTGCAGGGAGAAGCTGCCAGCCGAGGGGTCTTGCAGGCTGGACTTGGAGAGGGATCATAACTAGGGCCCTACCAAATTCACAATCCATTTTGGTCAATTTCACGGTCATAGGATTTTTAAAATGGTAAATTTCATGATCTCAGCTATTTAAACCTGAAATGTAAGTGTTGTAATTGTAGAGGTCCTGACCCAAAAAGGAGCTGTGGAGAGACTGCAAGGTTACCGGGTGGGGGTGCGGGTGGGGGGTTGTGGTACTGCTACCCTTACTTCTGCGCTGCTGCTGGCGGGGGGCTGCCTTCAGAGCTGGGCACCCAAGCCAACAGCCGCCGCTCTCCAGCCACCCAGCTCTGAAGGCAGCGCAGAAGTAAGGGTGGCAATACCACGAGCCCCCTAAAATAACCTCTTGATCCCCCTGCAACTCCCTTTTTGGTCAGGATCCCCAAATGGAGAAATACTGGTCTCCCCCCACAAAATCTGTATTGTATAGGGAAAAGCACACAAAAGACCAGATTTCACGGGGGGGAAGCCAGATTTCACAGTCTGTGATGTGGTTTTCATGGCTGTGAATTTGGTAGGGCCTTATTCATAACCCCGACAGAGGAGCTGACGCTGGGGGGAAGGGCACTGCCACCTAGAGGCTGAGGGTGTGTGGCCACTGCCAGAGCAAGCGTCTGACCTGCGGCATGCCTGAAGCCAGAGCTGTCCCTTGGGTACAGCAAATCAGGGCGACCGCCCCAGACCCCACGGGCGGGGAGGCAAGGCAGGAGGGCAAGCGGGGTAGGGAGGCTAATGGCATGCGGGCAGGGAGGCAAGGAGGCCCCCTACCAGAACCTCCCACTCCCCCAGCAGGTCCCACCAATCAGCACCTCTCCCTCCCTCCCAGCGCCTACCACGGATCAGCTGTTACGCGGAGTCAGGAGGTGCTGGGGGCAAGGAGCCAGGGCGCAGCTCGCTCAGGGGTGGACCTGGGCAGGGAAGAGACAGGGTGAGATGGGGCTTTGGGGGAAGGGGTGGAGTGAGGGCAGAACTAGGCAGGGCAGAACTAGGGGGGGCACCCCCCCCCCCAGCAGATAGGTGCCAAATTTCTAATGTCCCAGGCCCCGCACCCCCCTAGGGACGGTCCTGCCTGCAGCACAAGTAAGGAACAGACTGAACTTCCCCTATGCTCCAGACATGTCTGGTTTTGGTTTCCCCATTCCCACAGAGTGGGATTACTGGTTTCCTTTAACCTTACCCTTTTTTCCTTACTTTTTTAATCGATTCCTGTTTAATAAATTGTATTGCCTTTGAACTATATGCAATGATCAGTGGGTCAGGGAAGCGTCTAGAGTGGGGAAGAGTAATCCTGGCCCCTGTCCTAAGTGACCACAACAACATTCGGTGTTGAGCCCCCCCAGGAATCCTGGGCCCAGCCTTGTCAGGATTAAAAGGACACTGCCACACAGGAGAGTGGAAGGGGAGACTCCGAGGTCAGGCAGGCCTCTGGGTAAAGGGAGTGGGAGTGAGGACTCAGATCCTTTTGCTAGCCAGTTCCACCAGGGTAACATATAAGCCAGGAAAGTTCCCCACAATAGCGGGACAATTCCCTCGCTTACACAAGGGCTAGTCAAATAAATTGTGGTTTGGGTTCTGGAAAGTGATGATTTTACGTTGCAATAACTGTCCATTATAATACCCTAATCATGTCACAAAAATGCAATTTTTCTTTATTCCACATGCAACATTACAGCAGAATTTAAACCACCATACTTCAGTGTCAAAATGAGAGACTTCATGGCTTCCCATGATCCCATTTCATATGTTTCTTTTAACTGTAGTTAATAAAGAATAGAGCTGAGATCAAAGGCTTGAGTGACATATTTCCTTACTAATGGGGTCCATGGATTTGTATTACCTCCAAGATCCATATTTTATTTCCAATTTAATCTTAGTTTTCATTTAAACATTCTGCTCCATATCAGATATTAACCGTAAATGTGTGCTACATATTAGGAAAATGCAAATACCTGTCCAAAGCTCAGAGGAAAACACAAGTTTGTAAGAGATTAATTCTGGCAATGATGGATTTCAGATTCTCATGCAGACTCAAGGCACGACACTGGGGAGCATGAGCACATCAGTTTAAATACTATGCTGCTTTTTTACTTATCCTACAGATAGCAGAGTACCTCAGAGAGGGGAACAAATAGCACTACCTCCCTAGTTCAACATTAGTGTAACAGGAGAGAATAGCACTGGGGGGCAGAGAGGAAACGCGATACAGCACAGAGAGAGTGCAAACAGCAGCACTCCTGTGCACAGGGCAACCAGTGTATGCAGAACCCTGCCTCGGGTGGAGCGAGTAGCTTGGCAAGCATGACAGCCTTGTTTCGGTGCTCAGGTTTCCATATGGCAGAAATAAATCAGCATGAGTGAGTTGGAGGTGGCTGGCAGAAGCCAAATTGGACTTTCACATGGAAAGCTTTGCTCTAAGTCAACTGACATGATCAGAGAGCGAAAGCAGAGAAAATTTGGCCAACAGATACACACTGATCTCTCTGCTATATAAACACGAATGGGTACAGCTTGTGTTTTGTTCAAGCAGGAATGAGACACCAGAAAGACGTGGCTGTCTCTCTGTTTTACCCCAGGAGTATCAGCAAAAGCTTTGCTGTGCAACTGACACACAAGAATCCAAATGAACATTATTATACAAATGATAAGGTTAAGACACAATGACTGGATATTTTCCTATTCCCTTTACAAATCTTAATGAGAGGCTTTTGGATGAAAAAATGTAAATTGTACTACTCCCAACAATAGGAGCTGTCATATTAAATTTGGTATCTTAAGACGGTAATATTCCCACTGAGACAGAATAGGGCTGATGCATGGCTCAGGAAGGATTGCAGTGGGCACGTAGTAATTTTCATAGACAGAGATGTCAAACTGAAAGGAAAATAAAGTAAATGATGGCTAAAGCAACTGACTTTAACCTAGATGTATTCTCATTATCTCATATCTACACGGTTAGACCTAAATCTTGCTTCACATTAGAAGTCGGTTGTACTTAAAATAATTCTATCAACTTGTATGTAAAGCCT